CTTGTCTATAAGTACAATAATGACACTGTAGCACTTCAAAGAAACACTTAGGATCTCCATCTTTTCACTCATTTCCTGATGTCTCCCTCTGAAACTACCTCACTTTTGGCCCTTGAGTACCTATAGATACCTATAAGTTGTGTTTATGCATGTATTTACAACAACTGCAAAACAAGCTTGAAGCTTATACAAATCACTCTTGCTGGCTCAGCTGGATGTATACCAGAAGTCTTACTATGGGAGAAAACTGGAGTAAAAGGATCACTCATGGTAAAAACCCATATGATCAGGCAGGTAGCACCTTATTTTTTCTCTTCCGGGAATCAAACCCTGAACACCTCTGTGAAAGGCAAATGTGTTATCACTGCACCATCCTGCTACCCTACAGGTTGTGTCCCATAACCATGACAACAGTCATATAAAGTTATCTATACTTATTGCTAAACACTCAATGTCAGTATTTGGCAATGTGACCAGGCAGAGTGTCATGCTACCATGTCCAGGTTATGACATTTCAGTGTGCTGGCACTACAAAACATATTTCAGCAGCCCTATCATTTGTGGACACCATCATCAAACAACCTTTGCTCTCTTGTGGATTGAAACCACAGGCAAACAAATTCAAAGAGACACGACAAAGTTATTTTTGGTGTCAATTATCAAAAAGTTCAATTTGTATTAAATCAAATCATGGAGAAAGTATTAATGAGATGACAACACAATATCAATACAAAGTTCTTGACAAATGTTTCCAAAAATATCACTGTACATTTGTGATAGGTACATAAACACACTTTGTTGCAAAACTTTGTTCATGCCATTGTGACCTTTACATAGGACTTATATATACAGGCCCTTCAACTACAGCAGCTGTGTTGTTTTTTAAAATATGTTTCCATTGAAATATATTTGAAGTATCTAAGTCTGCTCTATATGTTCAAGACGTCAGATAATGAACTCAAAAGTAAGAATATGAAACTAATGGTTTAAATATCAGGTGACGCAACAGAATAACAGATTGACTGTACTCCAGGTAAACGAACAGCAGAACTTAACACCTTAATTAAAGTGTAATGATATCCAAGGACACAAAGGTCAACCGGAATAACACACAAAGGATTTGTATGGCAAAGAGATTTCTAACTAAAGATAGTAAAGATTCTATTTGTCAGAATATTTTACCTCACCTTGGTAATACACAAGGCTCGATTCTTCTGGAGACTCAATATTTAACACATGGGGCTCAATATTTAGTAAATTTCTATCTAAGTTGGTTAATGTATAGTGCTAAATTCTTTGTATTTTCAGAATCAAGGAAGTCTCCATTAATATTTTAATAAATTTCTATTTTAGTTAAAGCAGATTTCTTTTAATCTTCAATAATACAAAATAACTGTGCTATTTTGGGAGTGCCACAATTAAAGATTTTTATTCTATCTTAAAAAACAACACTACTGTCGTGTCATCTAAAGTGTCAGTAGATAAGATGGGGTTTAAATGGCTGACAGCTAACGATAGATTAGATGATGTCAATGACACATACTGGTCAAACGATAATTAACAGTTGAACCAGTGTCATAATTACACAGGATTTATCAAAATGCTGGAAGTTTTAATAATCTTTGTAGAAAATATCTGTATGCATGTCTCAATATTGCAAGATTATAAGTATTAAAACAGAATATTCAGACTTATGTAGTGCCTAAAGCTGTATGTCATAAATATTTGTAGTATGATTTATAATGGAGCTGAAATAAAATGAAAGCATTAAAAGGCAGTATACCTAAGTTTTATCATGTGTCGAACTGAAAACATGCAGAAAGTTGCACATCATATATACATCCTGTATATATACAAACAGCATGTAATTTACAGCACGTTCTGTGCAGAGAAATGTTTAATTGAATAGATCAAGCACACATCTGCATCTGCTATTTGCTCAGCCCAGGTAGTTTAATAGTCAGCAGACCACAGTCTACTTCACTCAACACACTCAGTGAAACACTCAGCAGACCACAGAGTCTACTGAAAAACTCAGCAGACCACAGAGTCTACTTCACTCAACATACTCAGTGAAACACTCAGCAGACCACAGAGTCTACTGTACTCAACACACTCAGTAAAGCACTCCGCAGATCACAGAGTCTACTGTACTCAACACACTCAGTGAAACACTCAGCAGACCAAAGAATCTACTGTACTCAACACACTCAGTGAAACACTCAGCAGACCACAGAATCTACTGTACTCAACACACTCAGTGAAACACTCAGCAGACCACAGAGTCTACTGTACTCAACACACTCAGTGAAACACTCAGCAGACCACAGAATCTACTGTACTCAACACACTCAGTGAAACACTCAGCAGACCACAGAATCTACTGTACTCAACACACTCAGTGAAACACTCAGCAGACCACAGAATCTATTGTACTCAACACACTCAGTGAAACACTCAGCAGACCACAGAGTCTACTGTACTCAACACACTAAGTGAAACACTCAGCAGACCAAAGAATCTACTGTACTCAACACACTAAGTGAAACACTCAGCAGACCACAGAGTCTACTGTACTCAACACACTCAGTGAAACACTCAGCAGACCACAGAATCTACTGTACTCAACACACTAAGTGAAACACTCAGCAGACCACAGAATCTACTGTACTCAACACACTAAGTGAAACACTCAGCAGACCACAGAGTCTACTGTACTCAACATACTCAGTGAAACACTCAGCAGACCACAGTCTACTGTACTCAACACACTCAGTGAAACACTCAGCAGACCACAGAATCTACTGTACTCAACACACTCAGTGAAACACTCAGCAGACCACAGAATTAACTGTACATGATTCTCTTAGTGAATAAGTCAGCAAAACCTACACTGTTAAAGCTACTTAGTGACATCTGATCAAAATATAATTCTTCAAATCCCATCAATTGATTAATCATTGGACCAAAGAATCTATACCATCTACCCTTAAGTACCTGTCTACAACCCATACATATCACATGTATGTTATTGATTATTTACGTTAAAGAATTCTCTTTGATCTCGCCTGCAGAGTTTTATGCAACAGAACCTTGACAACTACGGAACTTTGACCATGATTTCTACAGCAAATGTCATGACTCTCTATTGGTAGCTTCAGTACCTTACCTTTTCCATTTGAGAAAATTGAAAATGCAAATCCTTAAGAACAAATAATAAAACCAGATGCTGATTCATAATATGTAACATCATTTTAGTGGTAAAACTAACCTTTTCAGTAAATAGGGGGTGGTGTTAATTGATGGCGTACTTAGTATTGTCTGTACATCTCTCTCCATACTTGTACTCTAGATACTCAAAATTAACCCAGAAAGAATTGAGTAGATCTTTGTTACTCAACTAAAACTGGGAAATTCTGAAACTTTAAATTCTGAAGGACTAATACAGTTATGGGGTTGATACTGTTCCCCATTACCCCCAATTGAGAATACAAAACCCCTCAAATGAGTGATAATATAGATCCCTTGTTTTCAAGGACTCTTTTATATGAATCTATTGTTTGTGATTCAATTTGCCATAAAATGTTTCATGGGTACAGAGCGCAAAAGTGATCATCATCCCTGGAGTATCAAGGATGGGACAACATATATGACCTTACAAACAAAAACAGAATATGCTTCAGAGTTTTAACATAACTCCACTACATTGTTCCAGTAACATCAACTACAATTACAAAATTTACAAGCTGTCTATCTGTTTCAGTCATCATACAGTGATATCTGGTAATAATTAACAGGTGGTAGCTGCAGACAGTACTTAGCAGATAAAAAAAACTATCATGAAAAATTCAATAATGGAAACAAGACCTCAAAGTTATATAACCATGACTGCATGGGCTAGTCCAATACACTATTGTTATCTTGGTCAAACATTCAAGCTTTACCTGATCAACACAAGATAATGCTGAGTATACTTTCCTCATTCATATATGCAGGCAGCATAACCAGGGGCTCTTCATCAAAACAACCAACTTTATGGTAATTGTGTATTCTCTGTTTTGTATCTATGCTTTATATGTACTAGTGTTTCTGTGTCTGTTACTTTACTTGATATTTCTATTTTTAATCAAACACAACATCTAAGAGATCCAGAGACAATTAACAAATAAGTTGAATTATCAGTGTCTACAGATTTAATCCATCTGAAAATATTTGACTTATAATAAAATTTTCATTAGGTAGATAAGGCCTGTTCAAGAGATTCTTTTTATAAATGTTAACATGCTTGAAGATTTCTATTGATAAGCTTAAAAGTCTCAATCAGATATTAAAAGTCACATAAAGAAATGAAACCAACAACAGCAACATGGAGGCAAATATTCTGAAGACATTTTCTAAGTAACCCCAGCACATTGACTAACTCCTTATCCTACATTCTAATCTCCACCAAACACTGATGACAGTTTACTTCTGTGCTTCATCCAAAGCTGAAAATTTCTTCTCAGAATTTGAAAGCATGTTCTCCTCTCACTGACCATTAATGGCTCTGTCATATAGTCATTGGTAGGAGTAATTTCTTGACAACAGATTCTGACCTCACAGATTTATGATCAATGACAAATTTTATCCAAGTATGACAGACAGTACTATAACATATGTTTTGCACACAATTACTAGGTATAGCCCTACCCTTCAGCTGCCAAGTGAACATATTCCCATCAACTGATCTGTCATTTCCATTGATTTCCATAGAGCTGTTAAGTGACTGAAATAACATGACTAGTTGTCAATTAAATAGCAGGTTCTCAAAGAGCATGTCACATGAGCTCCACGTAGATTCGACAGGGTTTACATAAATCCAGTTTGGCTAAAATATAGTCCTAAAGCAATACTAACATTGCTTTTATGTACCTCAACCTTGATAACAGTGGAGACCAGACTTAGCATCATTGTTACATATTCTTACTGGTTTTTTCTAGCCAAGATTTTACAAAACTTACCAGCATTTGCTCAAATTTTTCTGTAACTTCTTTCTCAGACAGTGTGCTGATTCCGTCCCGCTGAGGACCGAAGCCATACTGGGCTCCATTTGTTTCTTCCGACTCATTTGTTGATGGAAGTCTACCAGAATATGTACTGGACTTGCTTTTGGCTTTATCCTTTCCACCTAGCCGAAATGTCCCACCTACTTTATCAAGCTGAAATCACAATATACACTATAGCATCAAATAAAATCAATGGTATTTTGATAACATGACTTTGAGGTTTTTTTTTATATTTCTTAAAACAATAACATTACCTACTGTAAACATGGAAATTACGTATGTGAGTAAATTTATACCAAATACACAAAAGTCATTCAGGCACTTAATTTCACCCATGCATATGACCATGTGACATAGTACATACATACAAAATCAATACTGGATATGTATTAGTTCATTGATTGTGAAAACAACTACTAATGTACAGTCTACTTACTGAAATCACAATATTACCACACACCCCAATGGAAATTACTGTTTACAATATGTCCTTTCAGTTTCTCTTTAAGGCCATAGCAATACTTTCCCAGCATTTTTTAAACAAAGTTCTATAGTACATAGTCTTGTAACCAAGCCATATAAATATATATATATATACCAATTTCTCCTTTACTATGCAACATGATTGATATGAGATTTTTCTTCTGTGTTACATGTGCATATTCTCTTGAAATAAACAGTAAATACAGTTAATCATCAAATTCTATTTATTAGCAATATTTTATAAAAAAAAAACAAAAACAAAACAAACAAAACATGTACACAAGTCAAAGTTTAATTGACCGTCATCATTTCTATAAAAGAATTATAACCGTCAGAAAACTGATGTGCACAGCAATTTTGTTCAACACAGTCAGCTTGTAACATAACATGTTACATGGAATCAAATTAAGACACTGTATACAGTACTCAAAATTGCATTCAGTCTGCCTATACTGACTAATTACTTCCCTGATTGCCATAAAAAATGATTACTTAAAATTCACTTGTGCAGCAGTACCAAATACTATTATCTAATCTATATATATTAGGTATGAAAGTACAGTATACAGTAACTGCTCTGGATGGCATACAAAGGGCCTCCCTCATGCTGATCAGTGGGGTAATCATGTGCTACTGCAAGATGTGTATGCCTTCAAATGATCCTGTCTGTTTATGGGGCAATAAACCCAGCAAACAAGCAAATGACCTGATTTTAAATGTGATAAATTTGCACAAATTTTCACAAATTCAAAAAAGTGCATGATCAACTAACTATACTTTGGAAAGATGGTATACTTTAGTTCGAACCACTGAGTAGAAGTTCACACTGAACATTTCTACATGTATTTTTCACACATCACAGATACAATAGTTTGCATTTACTTTGATTCCCAGCCATCTACAGACTGAGAGTCTTGATTCCTTACCCTAATTTTAGACATATCGGTGAACCTTTCTTGCTCTTTAAAAAAAATCAAAATTGTCTGACCAAAAAAAAGGTTAGAAATTTTAATCTGACTAAAGTATTACTTTGTCAAAATGAGGTCTATATGTCACTTTCTAAGATTTGAAAATTTGAATATGTACATGTATAATGATTTATATAATCACATCTATGAAAATTACAAGTTGGTAAATGTATCTACAATTTCAGGTTTTATTCTTTATCCCAAAACAGTACATAACATATAAGGTTGACTCTAATATCACAATTGACTTACTACATTAGTCTAAATTATCTTTGAACAGTCCAATATGTTAATCACTTGAAGTCTTTGTAAGAATTTTGGTAAATCTTGCACTCACCTTAGGTTTTAATTTGGACTTTTTAGATTCCCTACCACGCTGCATCATTCACTAGTTAGGCTTCTATGCAAACTTCAGTTACCACTAATTTGGAAAAGCCAATTCCAAATAACACCTCATACAAGAACATTGATGATGCATTATAATCCACATACAAACAAGTTTCAATCCACTTACATTCCCACCCAAGATTGACTATTTTGACAATCTTCAAAGGAAACTTGTGACACTGGTATCTTCAAATAATTACATTAATACTTGTTCGAATTATGACGATGAATACAACATCACATCAATACAATCATTGGCTTGATAACACAAATCAAATTCAATACAACATAATATTATGAATAGGAAGCCAATATACCCCTATGTATATGGTGTACACTGAACCAGGACATTAACACCGTCCTTGTATAAACCAACGACCAATACCAGTGTCACATCTGTACAAATGTGTATAAGAGACGTATTCACAATGTGATGCAGTCAAAGGCTTAGTCAACACTAAACAGCTCACACTATATAGGATGTTTTGCGGAAGATAATACTTACAAAACTGCCTCGCTTATCTCTTTCTTTCCTATCCATGCTTCAGTTCAGTTTGTGACACACATCCGGAAAACTCTATTAGACACGGTTTTAAAACTATGTCATTTACTCCAGTCACCAGGATACAAATTAAGTCGTTTACAATCACATGCTTTCGCCGAGATAACACAAGCACACTCAGCAATGAGCATGTGTACTGACAATAGCTGAGCTTGATGTCAACAGTAGATATGGTATGAATGAACCAAAATTGAGCACATTAAAATGTATTGCCATCTGTCGACTACAAACGAAACAAAAATATATATTTGACCTTGACAACGTATCCAATGATATTAATAGCTTCTGGTCTATATCCTCTGCTGTAACACGTGGATAAAAGACTAGCTAATTATAGAATCGCAGAGGTTACGATGTTGGCACCGTTCCTCTTCCTAAAGTTAGTCATTCTCTGCGCCATTTTGACAATACACCCAAAAATCAACCAATCACGTGACTTGTTACATTTTCAACGAAAGGAACCCTTTTTGCATATTATTTATGGATAGTTTCGAAGTCAGATTGATTAGAATAGGACGTATAAAGTCTTTATTAATTCAGAATTTTTACAATCAAGTAGAATCCAGTTCCAAACGCAAATTCATGCTCAAAATAGATACGGCCCAAAGGGATTTCCCAAGTTTCCCGATCAACCAATCAAAAATGATTTTACTATTCTCGACGTGTATTGAAGATGGCGGAGTCTGCTGTGAGATCGAAAGGATGGTGTGTGATATTTTTTTATGTGATAATGAAGTGGTTATGAAAAGATATCCATTACTATTCTCGTGATGACTTTTGGAAAGTCCGAAAAATGATACAAGCTTTACAATATATAACATCGTTCGAAGATTAACAGCATGACAGTATTTTTTTCAACTAACGTAAACTGCTCTTTTGACCATATATTCACAAGTGCATTCATTCAAAAGTCACTTTACCCATCAATTCAAACTGGAATCATTACGAGACGGAATTTATACAGGAAAAATTCAATATGATTTTTTAAGGACTTCCTGACAACCTTATCTCTAACCGAAGTCGCTATCGTGGCATAGACATGTATATGGCGTGTAAAACTTTAAGAAAATAATTTAGAAAAAGAAAAGAATAATTAAGATGCCGACTGCTTATTAGTGTTGAATTGTCATTGAAAACTGATCACTGAAGCCAATATGATGTATGCCACTACCAGTATCTGTATATAACACATTGAAGATCCCACCCAGCACTTTATAAACTATGAAATGTTTGGGAATAACAGGATTCTGGAAAAAACTGATTGAAGTGGTGTTAAATATTTTCTAAAAAGATACCATTTTAATACAAATAGTGAATTAACACTAGCTGAGACCAAGGTATCTTATACTTCTCTACTCCAATGCTATGTTGATATGGCTTTATTGGCTCACAAAAAATGCCACGACAGGTAACAGGGTCTCCCTCCTTCACAAGCACTTGTGTTTTATATCTCCATGGAAGCGTCTCATTTACTCAGCATCTATTTCTGGTCTGGAGTGGTCAATGGCACCAAATCTGTAATCGGCAGGAGTAGTGAAAAAAGTCCTGTTCCTGATCAGGTCCAATAAGCTCTCAGTACAAACACAAAACTGCTTGGCTAAACAAGAAATTTGAATTCCCACTACTCCAAACTAGTAATGTGATATGTAATCTTTGCTTCAGCAATAAACTGTATTTTCTTTCTTTTTTATTTTTTTTTTATTCATCTTTTTAAAATCTAGTCAAAACCAATTATTGCAGAGGTAATTGATGTTTTCAAATCTTGAATATATTTGTTATTTCAACATGATTAAGTCGGAACTAGATACATTTCATTTGGAATATTTTCCCTGATTTAACATGCATGACTAGATCTGTTGATTGACTCTGAATTCAGCTTCAGCCTGTCATAGTGTTCAGAAAAAGGTGTATGGCCTAGTTACTAGGTAATAAACAAATCAATGAGCGATGCTGTGACTAGAAAAAAATATATCCTAAAAGGGTTCTAAAGTTAATGTCTTGCCAAATTGGCACACTGATGAATTCATGCATCAACAATAGTTTCTCTATACAAACCATACATAGGAGTACAATCAATTTTAGGGAAATTAAGATTAATGCTAAAATATGTATATTACAATATATTTTAAAAGAAATGCAAATTAGTTAATTTAATTATCACATAAAAAATTTACTTAAAAATTTTCTTGTGCAACAGATATTTTTGAAATTTCTAAAGTAAAATCTTCCAATAAAGATTTGATTTTCTGTTTCTCTGATTAAGCTTTCATTACCAATGTAAATCAGCATTAAATAAAAGGTACAGTACACCGTACGATTATGCCTGTTTAATTTTTTTTCTTTTTTATTTTTAGTTATTTTTTTGTTATTTTTTAAAGTTTTTTACATTGTTATAATCAGATATTTCAAAAACCTAACTGTACATTACATGAAACATATTTAGCGCTGACATGTTTACAAGTAAAATATTTTTATCATCGACCAACATGCAGTTCAAAACACAAAGAAAGACACAAAGTAACACATATCCTTTCACTTTCCATCACACACATCTTCCCTGTCACATGTTTAATTTTAAGTAAAAGTCTTTATTTGTGATTATAGGAACTTGACAACGGAGGGATTCACGCTTTGTTTGCCATCAGATGGAAATCATGTGTCTGCAGAGAAAGTAATAGATGTGGCTAAAAATGTGAGTTCATTCTTCATTATTATATACAGGTGCATACGAAATTCACAGTGGTTGTTTAATGAATAAATTTTTTTTAAAAGATATATTTTTGTAGAAAAGTGGAAAAATAATTAATGATGTTTAGATTCACATGATATTGAATTATATTTGATATTAAAGAGATTTTCCACCAAAGTTGCAAAATTTCTTGATGTTTTGTACCTTTTAAGAGCTCATCGGATGACTTTTAAAACTATTGTTAGCATCAAAATATCTCTCCTGTGGTCAATTTGGACAGGTGAAATTGGTGGGAATACTCCCATACAAACCATCTAAATATAGTACATCGGGAAATCAGGAACTGAAAGGTCACTGGATCGTAGATTCTATGCAGAGCATTGGGTAAATACATAAGCGTGTATGCTGTTCATTAAAATGTCTGTTGGGCTACAATTTTATTACTTCATAAGCTTATTTTCTGTTGACTTTATAACTTAAACAAATGTTTCATTTTGTTCGGTTTATAACAATGCAAATCTTTTACAATACAGTCAGGGCTACACAAACATTTGTAATCGATCTAGTTAGAATTATATAGAATTTATGAATATTAAATATCAGATGTTTGTTTAGATGGTAAATTGAGGTGTAAAATTTTTATAAGAACATTATAAGATGATTTTGTATAGCTATCTTCAAAAGCATCCCATGTAATTCCTGTTAAGAAACTATTTTATCCTTATTTTATGGCATATCACATGATTATCCAGCACAATTATACTGGGTGTTAATATAAATGTATATATAATATAAATATATAGTCAAAGAAACTAGAAATTGAAGAGGTGTTAAGTTAATAGTTAAACTTACCATAAATAAAATACAGTATGTTTCATATATTTTTTAAAAACAAATTGTTGATAGCATGGAGCTTTGTAGGATATGATACATACATTGTTTGGACAGACCTTTTGGTTATCTCTTTGGGGAATTTGAACCTACACTTTATCATCAAGATGTTTTGGGCAGGAGGGTGGCACAGTGGTAACACTTGCCTGTCACATAGACATCTGTAATTCATTGAGTGGGTATGAACAGGTATGGAAGGGGTCGAAGGGGTGAGTACACGTGCCAAACCATGTTGGTTTTCCCCAGCACTCAGATTATCTCCTACAGTAAGATTTCTCATTGATTTTTTTCCATCAACAATAGTGATCCAGTTGAGTATCAGTTGAAAGTATCATTCCTTACTCATTAAATATTAGCCCATTATAACATTTTCAAACAGTGGTAGTGAGGGATGGAAATAATTAGATCAATAGAGTTAAAAGAGCTGGGATAAAGTCAATTCCAATTTCTGTCACTTTAAACAGGCTTATTATAGTGGTACATTTACATTCCATAATGGGAAATTCAACAGTACTTTTCTGAAAGATATGTTGAATTATGTTTTGTTATTGTTTAAAAATCTGCTGGTTTAACAGTAAAGTTTTACTCTTTGAATTTACACTTTAAATTCAACCTGTTATGTTTCCCATGATCAGACTGACTTGCGTGAGATTGGTGAGAAGTGGTTGCCAGATGAACTGAACAGAGGGAAATGTGAATATGTAAGTATATGGAGTCTATAGTATTTGTCCTTGAAGATGTACTTTTCAATTTCTAGTATGTTTCACCAGATGTATACTAGGTCATATTTAAGGTGTTTGGACCACTAATACTATAAATCCAAAATGGTTGAAAAATAATCTGAGATAGGATATTTCTAAGACAGCTGTCTGTCTGTTAGAAGAAAAGAGACTGAGAGTACTGGTAAGGATTATACATTAATAATATTTCCTGGTGAAAATGAAAATGATGTTACACTGTTAAGAAGACAGGATGATTGCTGCAACAGATATTTAATAATAAAATATTGACAATGAGGAATGCGATTTTGAAAATAGAGGGAAGATTTTGAAACTTCCTAATATGATGATTGCTGCTGAATGTAGCACATCTAAGACTGCCTTTAGATTTCAAAATCATTCTCTCTTATCCCAAATATTCTCACTCATATCCAGCTTAAATCTCATTAGCTTTCTTGTGTGACAATCAGTATTGATGCTAATACCTCTATGCTTGGTATTGTTGTCTTGAAATCATTCAGAGTTTATGACTAGGGAGTCTTGTTGTCTAAAACATGGCTTGAAAAAAGATCCCTGACAGGGTTAATACGGATTCATCATGTCTGAGGTGAAAACATATTGTTTCTGTATTTATTTGCCCTTTAGGTGGAAGGTCCAGGTGTTCTTCAGATTCAAAAGATCCGCAACATCTCTGCCCCAAAGGAACATGAAGAATCCCAGACAGCACCACGTATGCTGAGATTAACAATGACGGATGGGCAGCAGACCTGTAATGCCATCGAGATGCAGAGACTGGATAGGATTGGGTAAATCACAACTAGATTCCATCACTTGATAATTCCTTTCTAAATTTTATTACCATTTTAATTTTCCATGATTGTCAATCTCATGTACTAGGGATAAGATGTAAATAGGACTAAGCACCTGGGAGGGGTTGGAAGATATTCTTTTTGAAAATATTCGGCGATCAATGACTTTTTTTTAATATGATTTTCTATGAATTCCATCAACTGCTATGACTATATCTGAAGATACTTATAAATGATAAAAAATCCCAAATATTGCATTCCCAATTGTCCACTCCTGGAATTAACTGGAATTTGTCAATTTTTTTTCCCATCTGGAAAGTATATATGTCCCCTGTATATGTATACTGCTTGTCTGCACATGTGTTCATCCTCCTAAGTGTTCTAAGTAAACCTGTTCATGCTTTTAGACTTGACACAGCACCTGGAACTAAGATCTGTATTAAAGGTACAGTGGAGGTTGAAAACGGGTTCCTCTTACTTACCAACAAAAACACAATATTTGTTGGAGGGCGTGTCAACAAACTAGCTGAGAACTGGGAATTAAAAAAGGTTTGTAACTCACTTTAAGCATGTAGAAGTGTCCATAACAGTACTGTTAAATGGATATCTTTAGACATCCAGGTTAGGGATCGGTTTCATCACTCAACAGTCCCACCTGAAGTTGTGAAAACTGTTATAGGTACTGACTGCAGCTTGTCTGGTAGTGTGTTTCTTCTGAGGTTGCTTCATATCATTATCTACCTAGTAAATCACAAGGGTATCCTGCATTAAAGCTTTGTTACAAAGGTCACATGGACAGTATATCGTCATTTTTGAAAGATGTATAAACTATTACAATCATATTTTAAATGAATATCTATTCCTTATATTAGAATTTTTAGTTATTTGTAAAATTCTAGATGAAAAAAAAATGAAGTAATTTTTTAAAAAATTTAGTATTCATTTTGTGGTTTTTAAATGGATCTTGTTTGCATTTTTTCACCATGAATTAAAGAGATTCACATTTTAAGTTTCGGACATAAATGGTAATGGATTTGTTAAGTTTGGGTCAAGTTTAATTTGTTCTGTATAACCTTATGATTTAAGACTATTTGATTCCATAGATGCTGGCAGGACAATCACGAGCCAATGTGGGCTCTGAAGGGGGTCCTCCATTATTTGTCCCCTTTGGACAGAGAATACGAGATGGAAGGGGAGCTGTCCAGGTCAATAAGAGAGGTAACTTAAGATGAAATTGCAGAGGAAATTTTTGTTTGCAAATCAAAATGTATATTTGAGGGGCTCATAGAATGATAACTATAGATCATTAGAAGTCAAATTTTTAATTTTATTTCATTCGTTATTTTGTCTTAACGTGATGCTGATTTTGCAGATAACTTTAAATCTATCGAATCCAATAAGAAGGAAGAGAAGACAGCAGAGGAGATCGAGTTTGAGGAGCAAAGGAAGGCAGTCATAGCTGAAGCATTGCAAGCTAAAGAGGAAGGCAAGCCAAAGACATTTGGAGGAGGTACAAAACAAGTAAGGCGGTTTAACAATACTGTATTTATCCAGAAATAAGCTGGTGCCTGAAAATAAGCACACATACTTTATGGAATCTGTTAAATGTAAATGTCAAAAAATTCTAATTTTATCCATTGTCTAGTGATAATTCAATCTGACATTGTGGTCACTTATGCATTCATTAATCGTTGAATGACTTCTTCCTTGTTTCACAAATTTACATGGAAATGAATTTCATGACTCATATATCTGTGTCACTCTTGCTCATAATTACTGAACAATATCAGAAAATATTGACATTGTTTTGTACAGGTGGGAATGGACCGCGAAATATCAAGGATCGTTGAGATGGGATTTACTGCTGAGGAAGCCAGTCGTGCACTCAGACAAAATGATAATGATGTGACATCAGCTATAAATCAATTGCTGAGTGGCAGGAGAAACTTCAGGGACCGACCTATGAGTGATCGCGGTGACAGACGGGGGCCACAGAGAGACTTTCGTGAGGACCGACAAGATAACAGGAGAGATGACAGACGCAATGATAGACGAGAGGACCGGCGAGATGATAGAAGGGATGATAAACGAGATGACAGGAGAGAAAACACAAAAGGTAAAAATTTCCAGATCTGTAAATGAATTGACAAAATAAGACATTAAATTAAAAAATGTATACTTTTCTCCTCTGAATCTTTTCATTCAGGTGGAAGATCTTCTATCAGCAAGAACAATGTAATGATTGACATTTACTGTACTTCTGGAAAAGAATGAGGCAAAAGCATTACAGAATCTGAAAAAATGAAAAGTTTGTCTGATGTAAATATTACTTCAAAAGTATGACCATTCATTAAATGACAAGATAATACATGGTTATATTAATGCTTGTCTAGGTGGTCGTGGCCGTGGGCGAGAGCGGGAGGATTTCGGAGAGGACATGGGGTCCAGTCGACCTTCAGGTCCTGCCACACTTTTTGACTTCTTAGAAACCAAGATCAAACCATCAAATGATAAAAGTAAGTAGGCAACAGAACTTGGTATAATTCATATCTTTTCTCTGGAAACACTTGACTGTATATGGTATCCTCTGGAAACACTGTATTGTGTAAGGTATCCTCTGAAAAACTGCTTTATGTGTGGTTTTCCTTATTCCTACTTTGTAGAGGTTTTATTGTCAGATTTTTCATTTCCTTCCTAAAGAACAGTGATATACCAACCTTTTAATAAAACCACTATGACTGGCGGATTTTGCACAAAAGTTATTATTTTCAGAAACACATAACTACTAGAACTAGATTTGATATGTTAGATCTTGCACTGAGTTTATTTTGTAACATGCTCAAAGGGCAAGTGAGCTTAAACTATGTAGGGATCTTTAATATAAGCATGTGAGTCATTCTGCATTTAATAAATATTTCTCAATAATCTATTAGAATATCAAAAGCAATGTCAACATCCCTTACCTTCATCCTAGCTTCTCATTGTAATTTACCAGGAGAGATATCTGGTATATATATAAGGTATTATTATGATTATACAAAAGTGTCTTAAATTCCGTAAAATTTTCGAGTGTTAACATCCGCATAAATATGTGCATCATGTTTTATCTTTATTTGTTGGGTATCCTACGTGTTATATACTATCCAGCTTAGCAAATTGATTGACATGATAATCATTTAAATGTTTGATTTCTATTAATAGGCAGTAATCCACAAACAGAAAAGAATTCTTCCCAGAGTTCCTCATCATCCTATACAAAGTCTCAAAATCAGTACTCCACCAATCAGAACCAACGAAACAATGATTCAGACTTTAATAAAAGATATCAAGGAAACAATCGAAACGATGATCCTCCCAGTAAAAACTATCGTGGGGGCAAAGAGTCACGCCCCCAAACAGGACCAGCCTCTGTTTCTAAGGCACAAAACTCACAGAAGTCTTCATATCATAATAATCAGAACAATGAAAAGACATCTGCAAGATCAAACATTTCAAATGAAAGAGGGAAACAGAGTTACAGTAATCAGCCTGGAAACCAAAGAGTTAGCAACAGTCAAAATAACTACAATAACGCACAGTTTAATAGTTCTAGGATAGAGGACAGAGGGGGACAAAATAACTCACGGGGTACATTCGACAACAGTGGAAATAGCAGCGACTCAAATAGACAGAGCCGTCCAGTAAAGTCACAGGGTTACAACAAGAGAGATAATCCAACAATCTCGTCCCAGAACTACAACACACAGTCTAGTGCTCAAAGTGATAGCAGGCAATATGGAGGCCAAAATGGGAATAAGCATCAAGGACAGAGTGAAAGTAAAACATACGGATCACAGAACGACAGCAGGCAATACGGAAGGAACGAGAACAGACAGTTTGGTCAAAATAACAGTCGGCAGTACTCTGGTTCACAAAGTGAATGTAGGCAATATGGACAAAGTGAAAGTAGACATTACAGTGCTGGGTCACGTTCTGAACAATATCGATCCGATGAAACGCCTTCAGGCCGTGAGCAAAACTTTGATAGCAAACGAAACAAAGAATTCGGTAAAGGGCCACAAAACAGCCAGCCAATGAGACAACCCAACGAATCATCAAACCAGAGAGGAAATAACAGGAAAAACTATCAAAACCAATCACAGGTAGGTACAACAACACCTGGACATACAAAGAGGAAATGATTGACTTAAGATTCTTTAGAAGTGTACCTTCAGTTTTAATGTTTATTCATATATTAAAGTTTTCTCTTTTTTTGTGTGTGTGCAGAGGTAGCGAAAAAATCCATGTCAATAGAGCTTGTTGAATTCCCATTGGAATGAAGGATCATCTGGAATCTGCAATCTCATGTACCTGTATTGTGTTTGTTTCAGAACTTTTCTGCCCTGTCCATATCATCTGGTCCATCCACAATCTCATGTACCTGTATTGTGTTTGTTTCAGAACTTTTCTGCCCTGTCCATATCATCTGGTCCATCCACAATCTCATGTACCTGTATTGTGTTTGTTTCAGAACTTTTCTGCCCTGTCCATATCATCTGGTCCATCCACAATCTCATGTACCTGTATTGTGTTTGTTTCAGAACTTTTCTGCCCTGTCCATATCATCTGGTCCATCCACAATCTAATGTACCTGTATTGTGCTTGTTTCAGAACTTTTCTGCCCTGTCCATATCATCTGGTCCATCCACAATCTCATGTACCTGTATTGTGCTTGTTTCAGAACTTTTCTGCCCTGTCCATATCATCTGGTCCATCCACAATCTCATGTACCTGTATTGTGTTTGTTTCAGAACTTTTCTGCCCTGTCCACATCATCTGGTCCATCCACAATCTCATGTACCTGTATTGTGTTTGTTTCAGAACTTTTCTGCCCTGTCCATATCATCTGGTCCATCCACAATCTCATGTACCTGTATTGTGTTTGTTTCAGAACTTTTCTGCCCTGTCCATATCATCTGGTCCATCCACAATCTCATGTACCTGTATTGTGTTTGTTTCAGAACTTTTCTGCCCTGTCCATATCATCTGGTCCATCCACAATCTCATGTACCTGTATTGTGCTTGTTTCAGAACTTTTCTGCCCTGTCCATATCATCTGGTCCATCCACAATCTCATGTACCTGTATTGTGTTTGTTTCAGAACTTTTCTGCCCTGTCCACATCATCTGGTCCATCCACAATCTCATGTACCTGTATTGTGTTTGTTTCAGAACTTTTCTGCCCTGTCCATATCATCTGGTCCATCCACAATCTCATGTACCTGTATTGTGTTTGTTTCAGAACTTTTCTGCCCTGTCCATATCATCTGGTCCATCCACAATCTCATGTACCTGTATTGTGTTTGTTTCAGAACTTTTCTGCCCTGTCCATATCATCTGGTCCATCCACAATCTCATGTACCTGTATTGTGTTTGTTTCAGAACTTTTCTGCCCTGTCCACATCATCTGGTCCATCCACAATCTCATGTACCTGTATTGTGTTTGTTTCAGAACTTTTCTGCCCTGTCCATATCATCTGGTCCATCCACAATCTCATGTACCTGTATTGTGCTTGTTTCAGAACTTTTCTGCCCTGTCCATATCATCTGGTCCATCCACAATCTCATGTACCTGTATTGTGTTTGTTTCAGAACTTTTCTGCCCTGTCCACATCATCTGGTCCATCCACAATCTCATGTACCTGTATTGTGTTTGTTTCAGAACTTTTCTGCCCTGTCCATATCATCTGGTCCATCCACAATCTCATGTACCTGTATTGTGCTTGTTTCAGAACTTTTCTGCCCTGTCCATATCATCTGGTCCATCCACAATCTCATGTACCTGTATTGTGTTTGTTTCAGAACTTTTCTGCCCTGTCCATATCATCTGGTCCATCCAAAATCTCATGTACCTGTATTGTGTTTGTTTCAGAACTTTTCTGCCCCGTCCACATCCTCATTTAAGAAAGGTGACCCCTGTCTGGCTAAATACTGGGAAGATAACAAGGTCAGTTTAATAAAGGATGTAATTAAACAATGTACACCAGATATTATGATTAACATAGTGACTCCACATCTCATGACAAAACAGTATGACAACATACTGTGGTATGTTATCGTTTATCTGGTATCAGCTTTTCTTCAAAATACAAATTGTCAAAATATTTTAGAAATCTGTCGTGGATCTTCCAAAGCCAAGAATTCAGCATTGTGTAACATTTGCCTTACTTCCTTGAGAGCAGAGGTATAGGGTTCAAGTGATTGGAAACTTTGTTAAACTTTTAAAGGTCTATATTCATGAGTGTGCATGCTACATTTCTGTAACAAGATTTTTAATATCTGTAAATCTTTAAATCTAATAAGTTTGGATGAATTACTTGGCAAACATTTCCGATATTTTAAATATTACATCTGGGTAATGATATGTACATGTATTTTGTCCTTGTTCCATCTGGTCACAAAACCTGGGTCTGTAATGTACCTGTACAGTGACCATCGTTATTGACGTAACTGTTGTAATTTGTTACAGTTCTATCCAGCCGTGGTACAGGCACTCTACCCAGACCTGCCTACCTGTATTGTCTTATTTACAGAATATGGAAATGAGGAAGAAGTCAATCTTACTGATGTGAAACCCTTGAGCATGGTAGGTATTAGATCCTGTATAATAATGCTGGTTGGTATAACTTTATTGCCAACATTTTGGGATGACATTTGTACAGGGAAGAAATTGTGTATTGTTAATGTCATTACTGTCCATAGTAAATTTATTGCTTGTCAGTATATCAGTTTTTTTACACACCAGTTGGTATAAAAAAAACTAATGAAAACTGCCGTAATATTGATTCATAATGATGATGATGCCTCGTATATTTCTATATCAGCTTCCCAGTCAGTACCTACCTCATCAACAGCAGCCCCAGCAGCAGCAATATATGGACTATGGGGGTCACCAACAGGGACATCCTGGCCCTGACAACCACATTAATAGTATGGAGTTTCGTCGACGACCTACAAGAACTGAACCTAGCAAGCCTACACAGGCGTTTTACCAACCCCCAAGTCAACGGCATTGATCCAAATGTTGACCCCAACCCAGACATATCCTTGACTGGTACCTCGTGCTTCCCCGGTGTAAAATCTCCGTAAGATTGTAATGTTGTTCTGTAGATCACAAGATTGAACAGTTAAACTAACTTATAGATGCTCAAACCTGATTTGAAAGTCTTGTGGCTTTGCCAAGGCCAGTAAATATTATACACTTGTTTAACTGTATACAACTATACCAGTGTATCATTATGTACATCAGTTATGTACTTGGTATTTACATTTTTCAGGTCATTGTTAGTTTTTGTCTTTATTTAATTTTTGTTGTCTATAGAGTGCTGTTCTATATCTATTTAATTTAGAGAAAAACAAAAAATGGCTATTTTTTTGTACATGTATTAATAATTTGATCTTATACGATACATTGTGTAATTCAGTCAAATAAAAGGAATATAATACTAGTTGACTCTGTGCAATCAAGAACGCCATTAAAGTTGTCTAATTATGAAATCCATTGGATATTAGGTTTTCAAAGATCATACAAGGTAAAATTATATTAGTAAGGAATGTTACACATTTAGGATTTAAGCTACCTTCACTGTAAAAGATATCTCTTGGTTGTGTTGGTTCACTTAAGGATGTATACTACCTTTCTACTAATAATATTAAATTCTACTTAAGGGTGTATGTTACCTTTTTGGAAAGTATTTTCTTTCCAGAATAATTATTTACATTGTACTTAGATTATTTTATAGGTGTGAAATGTACTTCACAAATATTATATGGTGCAAAGCTTCATATTTTAAAATCTAGGTCCTTAGTGAAATGGAGCCATTGTGGTTTTAGTAATTATATTTTTCATAGCCTTTGGTATAATAAAACCTAAGACCACTGGCTTACTAGACTTAAACTACAATGTATACCAATTGAGTAACAGAGAGAGGCGGCAGTAATTTTTCTTGGGTAAAAGTTACTTCAGTGATATTTCAAATAAGAGATGTATTATGTGAAGGTAGATAACTTATTACAGTAGATAAGGTAGCAATATGGTGCTTAACTGCTTAAACACTAAATGAACATTTCCTGGAATTTGTTTTGGAATATCAAATTTATAGAACAAAAACATTTGATTAATTGATTCAACGAATCAAATAAGATTATTTTCATGCTTAGGAGTTTACCAGAGCTGTTAGGGTAACTTTACATTTTAGCAGATGTACCTCAGAAATCATGTTTTGTTATCAGCACTGTCCATAAATATGAGGACCGAAAACAATGTAATGTAACTTAGTTGTATTACTTATTTTGTTATATAAGTGTGGATATGATGGCTGTTTTGTTTGTTATAGACAAAAATGGGGTATTTAGCACAGATTAGAATTTCATTGCATTTACTTATATTCTTACAGAAATCGTATGCCTCAAAATTCACCATTTCAACAAACATACCATATTCAATTGGTGGAAATTCTATATAAATTTAGCTAGATCAATTTATAAACATAACCTTGACCATGATTAAGCCACAACAGGTTTGTTTTTATTAGCCAAATTCACCATTTCAACAAACATACCATATTCAATTGGTGGAAATTCTATATAAATTTAGCTAGATCAATTTATAAACATAACCTTGACCATGATTAAGCCACAACAGGTGTGTTTTTATTAGCCAAACGATTTGAAATAGTTGTGTATATTTTAAATTTAAAAAGAAATAAGCCAAACAAAATGGAAATTTGATCCAAGCAGAAGTGAACAATGTACAGACCTGTGTGTTTACCCAGTGCTTCTAATGAAATTTGATATCCAGTCAGTGACTGTGTTCCAGATTTCCTAATGTGCTGTATTAAGAAAGTTTAATTTTATATTGACACAGGGTATTTGCCTGGTTAAATTGACTTTAGGTATTTTGATGCTGACAATAATTTTTAAAAGCAATCAATAAGAATTGTAAAAAGTTACAAAATAACCATAAGTATGCCAACTTGTGCAGAATATTGCTTTGAAAGAATTCAACACCACTCAAACAAATATGTTTTTTCGTGTGTAGACATTAGATTTTAATACAAACTCTGTGTTCTGGTGCTCCAACTAAAGATAATATGTCTGACATATAAAAATCCAATCTGTAATGTTTGTGTGCATTGAACAGACACCAATGCACCTACCTATGTATTGGAGAAATTAATTACTACTTTATAAATATACACCTTCATTGCATTATCAACTACAATTAAATCAGGTGTTATAAAATGAATACTTAACTTTAATATTGAAGTTTTATCTTGTCTAGATATTCAATTTTACTTTATGCAAGCTAATATTCATGTGCATGTTTACCAGCGCTTTGTTTTTGCCTGAAGAGATATTTCAGTTTTTGGAGATGAAGTCTACTTTGATATCAGCTAGGATATGAAAAAGAAACATTTTTCCCCCCAATTTTTCATGTTTGAAAATTTGTCAGATTATCTGACCCTTTTTATACTGCTGGACAACTGTATAAATTATGGATGACATTTTCAATGCTGATTTGTATTTATGCAATAGAATGTACTGCATTTGATTATAACCAGTTCAATTCTGTACAAATCTTGATGATATGGTTGTGTATGGATTCTGTCTAAACTTCTTCCAAGAAGGCCTACATTTTTGAGGCCAAGGGATGTGTATAAAACATTAAACTCTTTGTAAGGATTTTTTATACATGTTTTTGTGTAGTTTTTTTCCTCATATCAAATTGATTACCACTTATTTTAACCACAACTGTAGCTGAGTCATGTAGATGGCTTGACTAGGTAGATTACATATACACAGTGTCTAGGTTGAGGAGGGAGGGGGATAGAATGATATAAGGCAGGTAGTGAAAGATATGTTAAGGAAATGTAGCCCATCCCACAACTGTCCGAAATTATTTAGTTGGCAATTCTTTTAATATGACCTTGTCAAAGAAAACTTTTCAATTGACATGCCTGTATGTACTACAGAAGACTTTCTAGGTTTCCAACTGTCGTGTGTGGCTTTGTCTAGAGCATATCCCATATGTTCTCCTTCTGAAGTGTACTGAAGTTTGCATGCAAGTATCCGGTCAGTTGATTAAATATCACCTTTTACCTTTACAGTTTTTCCATATGTCCCAACACTTAACTAATTATTGCCTCTCTGTGAAACTTTTTCAAGGAAATATCTAGATATATTTACAATATATATATTTAGTCACACGCAAATTTTCGTATATAAATAATTCAGATACATGATAAATTTGTTTAAGTCTTTCTTAAGTGTGGAGTAATTCAGGATACTGCTGTAACAGATACCTGAATGTCAACTCTGTAATGCAGAAAAGAGATGACAAAAGTCTTTGGAAACTTCTGATTTGGTACAAGCAACAGTATCGCTTATTTAGGCATTATATTATTTATTATTGATATATTTTCAAGAAATGTTCTCCAAAATTCGTCCCTGGAATGTTGTCTTACCCTAACAATTTTCCAAAATGTTTGGTAATGTTACATCATTTCGATCTGAAATTTTTAATGTTTTCACAGAAACAAGCTGCACTAGGAATCCAAAATCTCAATTATTCACAATTTTTCACCCTTTGATGGTAATAGGACTTTATGTGAAGACAATATCGTCTGAAAAGAATGGCCATGTAAATAATTTTATGCTATGCATCCAGGACCCCTATGAACTATGAAATTTAGATTTAAATTAAAACAAGAGGCCCATGGGCCTCAACGGTCATCTATATATGAAAGAGGCAAAATAGGCCTAAAATAAATTGCTCAATAACTCTACAGCTTACATAGAAGATATTGTTGGTTCATCACGACATTTTCTGCAAACTTGAAATCATATTCTTTATACATGCACTACACAATCGCCATTACTGCGAATGTATTGCTGGTTGAAAAAGCAAGCTACAGGCCCAATATCAAAATTCTTGGCCTTTTGGTTATTGGAAAGAAGTTGCTTAAGCATTTCAACGCATTTGACCCTGGTGACCTCGAGACTTGTCCAATATCATTACCCTGGTATTTTTGATTACTGAGAAAAAGTCAATTAAAGATTTTAACATATTTGATCCCTGTGGCCCTTCCAAGTGAATCGAGGTCATTCCTATTAACTAGGGGTCTAATCAACTTCCTGGATTTAAGCAATAATTCTCCACTCTCAGTGTTTCAGACTAAACTTGGTTGAAATCCATTCAAGCATTAAAAAAGAGTAGCATTTTGAAGCAAAATATTGCCTAACTTCCCCTTTTGGGGCCCAGCCCCAAAGTCCATAGGGATCAAAACAACTTTCTGAATTAAGAAATGGTTCCCCACTCTCAATGATGTTTCAGACCAAATTTGGTTGAAATCTGTTCAAGCATTAAAAAGGAGTAGCATTTTGAAGAAATATATTGTCTTGTTTTCCCTTTTGGGGCCCCATACCCAAGTCGATAGTGGTTCAATAAAATTTCTGAATTTAAGAAATGATTCCCCACTCTCGATGTTTCAGACTCAATGATGTTTTAGACCAAATTATTTGTAAACCATTCAAGCATCAAATTTCAGAATTTAAGGAATAATTACCTATCCTAAGTGACGAATCAGGCAAAAGCTTGTTGAAATCCACCCAGGCAGAAAGTAGGAGTAGGGTTTCAAATCTAATTTCAGCACCTGCCCCCTCTGGGGCCCCATCCCTGACCTCCTAGGATTCGAATCAAAATTCTGAATTAATGATGCATCAGACCAAATTTGGTTGAAATCTATCATGAAAGAGGAGTAGGGTTTTAAAAAAAATTGTTTACACACAATGCAAGGCACACGACGACGAACAAAGCATGATAACTATAGTTATGAGAAAGCTCAAAATATGCCCTGCACACGAGGTTCCATTTTGAGATATGGAGGACATATAATGCACCAACTCAAAAGCTCAATGAAAAGCCCAACGTCTGATGATGACAAGCAAAAAACAACAGAAGATCAAACATTTTCTTGTAATAATTTATCAACGTTGAAAATAAGCAGTTCAGGTTTCTGAAACATTTGCTTCTCTACTGAGTTGGTACACAGGAAAATTCTTTCTACTTGTGTTAATGCTATTATTTCAGTGCTATACCAGGGAGACTACCAGGCATGTTCGATGATGGCCAGTAAATTATCTCCAAGCTTAACATGAGTATTACATCAGAAGCAGAAAGCTAAATAGCCCCAAAATGTCCTTGCAGGGAATAAAGTTTGAACAGGAAAATTGAAACACTGTGATGAATATGCAGTACATCTTTAGACCATTTAAAGCAGCTGATCAGTTAAAACTTACTGCAGTATTAGAAACATGTAAAAATAAAAAAAAACAAGGTTAATGGGCGAGAATGTTGCCACCATGCTATGTAGTATCAACTTCTACTCATTGTACAACCCATCTGGTACTAAATGGTTAATATGAAATTATTAAAACCCAAATCAATTACACTTCACTTCACTATCTGAGGGAAAAAATTATCTAGGTGTTATTGTTTGAACGTTTAATGATTATCTCCCTTTGTTCACATTTCGACCAATAACTTCTATAGAAATATGTTAAAAAGCTTTCTTTTAACAGATAAATACACTGCAAATTAGTTGACACGTTTATGTATGACCCCAAATGATCTTGTGCTGATATTAGTAACCACAATCAAAACAATATTCTAATTAACTGTGATTAACTGTGGAGGTTAACAATTTATAAGTATGACAAACAACTGTTTCCTACTGATAAATTTCTACTGCTATTTTTTATAGAATATCAGAAATTACCATTTTTGATCATGCTTCTCACATGAAAGTTTTAATTCTACAACTGGTTTTCGAAAATTTGGAAAAAATGGTCATTAGTTTGGTTGGTAAAAATCATAACAATCTGTTGTACATGAAAACTATTGTTGTCTTTTATGCCATGTAGATAGTTCAGTTATTTAAAATGCTAGTACTATTTCAGAGATAAACAAAGTAACTATCATTAATGTTGAACACATCTAAAATCCATAAAACTGATCTGTCAGTGACATCTAACAAAAAATATACTATGCTGTAGTAGATTTGCTTAGATGGGACAAAATATGGTTTAAAAACAATGAAAGCAAATATTGCAATACAGATTTATGAATTATGATAATGGATTTATTGTTAAATTTGAGACAGATGATTCTTACCTAAAGCTGACCTGTAACTGTGTAAGACTCTGAATGATTGTTAGATCACTAGTGTTACAACACTAATGAATATATGGACAAACCTAACAATACATGTTACAGTCTATTGTGAAAAATAACATACACTTTGTAGACATTACAAAATCATTAAAATGCTCAATGATGTCTTCCTCTCCATTGTTTGAAATCAGAAAGGCACACCTAGCATTGCACCATAGACAGATTAAATATATAGATAGCAAAGGGTGTCATATGCCTTAATCTATAAATACATAGTTCTCTCCAGAAACTTGTCTCCGATTCGTTACCGTTACTTTTATTCAATAAACATGAGAGTTCATATAAATATCCTTGGATTTAGAATGACTAAGTAGAACACTGGCAGCAAAAACAACCTACTGAAATGAGGCCATGTATTTGTATAAAACTGCCATTTGTTTCATTTCTAGCTGCCACGTACAAAAAAATGTGTCATAAACGACAGAAAATGGTTTTGTTCATTGTTCAATATTGCATGTAGGAATATGAAGTAAAAAAAAAAAAAAAAAATAATCACATGAAAAATATCCGAGGGATTCACATTTATTAAAACGACACAAATCTTTTCTTTAATGAAACTTTCATTTAAGCAGTTTTGACACAGTTTACAAACATGTGTATGACAGAGAGCATTTTTTCAGCAAAAGCATTTGATAATCAAAAATCGAATCTAGTGTAAAACAAACTATATGTTTATTTCATAAATATTTACCCCTGGACGTCCCTATATCACTTTTTTAAAAACTCAACCTCCCAGTAGAACCACAGATCTCTATATCACTGACACAAGTTCCCCTGAAGGTCATTATACCACTGACACAATTTCCCCTGAAGGTCACTATATCACCGACACAAGTTCCCCTGAAGGTCACTATATCACCGACACAAGTTCCCCAGAAGGTCACTACATCACCGACACAAGTTCCCCAGAAGGTCACTACTTCACCGACACAAGTTCCCCTGAAGGTCACTATACCACTGACACAAGCTCCCCAGAAGGTCACTATATCACTGACACAAGCTCCCCAGAAGGTCACTATATCACTGACACAAGTTCCCCAGAAGGTCACTATACCACTGACACAAGTTCCCCAGAAGGTCACTATATCACTGACACAAGTTCCCCTGAAGGTCACTATATCACCGACACAAGTTCCCCTGAAGGTCACTACATCACCGACACAAGTTCCCCTGAAGGTCACTATCCCCAGAAGGTCACTATATCACTGACACAAGTTCCCCAGAAGGTCACTATATCACTGACACAAGTTCCCCAGAAGGTCACTATATCACTGACACAAGTTCCCCAGAAGGTCACTATACCACTGACACAAGTTCCCCAGAAGGTCACTATATCACTGACACAAGTTCCCCAGAAGGTCACTATATCACTGACACAAGTTCCCCTGAAGGTCACTATATCACCGACACAAGTTCCCCTGAAGGTCACTACATCACCGACACAAGTTCCCCTGAAGGTCACTACATCACCGACACAAGTTCCCCTGAAGGTCACTATATCACTGACACAAGTTCCCCTGAAGGTCACTATATCACCGACACAAGTTCCCCTGAAGGTCACTACATCACCGACACAAGTTCCCCTGAAGGTCACTATATCACTGACACAAGCTCCCCAGAAGGTCACTATATCACTGACACAAGTTCCCCTGAAGGTCACTATATCACTGACACAAGTTCCCCTGAAGGTCACTATATCACTGACACAAGTTCCCCTGAAGGTCACTATATCACTGACACAAGTTCACTTCACTGACACCCCTGAAGGTCACTATATCACTGACACAAGTTCCCCTGAAGGTCACTATATCATCAGAAGGTCACTATATCACTGACACAAGTTGAAGGTCACTATATCACCGACACAAGTTCCCCTGAAGGTCACTACATCACCGACACAAGTTCCCCTGAAGGTCACTATATCACTGACACAAGTTCCCCTGAAGGTCACTACATCACCGACACAAGTTCCCCTGAAGGTCACTATATCACTGACACAAGTTCCCCTGAAGGTCACTACATCACTGACACAAGTTCCCCTGAAGGTCACTACATCAACGACACAAATTCCCCTGAAGGTCACTATATCACTGACACAAGTTCCCCTGAAGGTCTCTACATCACCGACACAAGTTCCCTGCAGGTCACTAAATCAGCGACACAAGTTCACATTATAACTCCTGAAGGTTATTACTACATACATAACTTCTCAGTAGACCTCCCCCCCCCCCCACCCACCCGCTCGAGATCCTTGTCTCACTGACACAAGTTTCCAGTAGAATTCCTGCAGGTCACTCTCATTGACATAAGTTCACATTAGAACTGGAGATCATTGCACCACACACAAAAAAATCATAGTAGAACCTCCAGAAGTCCCTGACTCACTGACACAAGTTTCCAGTAGAACCCTTGAAGGTTCCTATCTCCCTGGAACAAGTTTCCAGTAGAACCCCCAGTGATTCCTGTATCACAGACATAATTTCCTGCAGGTCATTATTACTGACAAACGTTTCTAGTAACACCCCTGGAGATCCCTGTCTAACTGACACAAGTTTACAGAAGAACTCCTGGAGGTCTATGTATCACCAACACAAGTTCCTAAGACCTCACAGATTGTACATGGAAATGTATTCTGAGGTTTCATGTTAATACTAGTTAACTTTACATATGTTGAGACTGATAACAGAAAATAACAGAAAAGTAACAATATTATCAAATTATCCACAATCATCTCCAATAGGGCAAGCTAAGGTCATAAAAATACAATCTATTGCACATATCGACAAAAACAACCAAAATCCATAGACATGTCTAATTAACCATACACGACAAATAACTATTACTGGGTATTTATACAAAACACCATCTCATCACTTTTTACTAAATTTATCAAACTGTTATTCAAATCAGAGATCTTGCTGTTCGACATAGGGTTTTGTTCAGGAATGTCATTTACTATGTTCAACACTACATAGACCATACTATAGAAGTAAATTTTCCCAGAAACATGCTGATGTAATAAAAACTGTAGTTGAGATAAGCTGATAACAGGATAATGGAAAGACATTCATGCTGCATTAAAATATAGGAGAAAATAAATACAAATAATGCTGACAAAAGCAGACATTTCTGCTGTAGCTTAGCTGCCTGTGTACCCGTCGTGGGCGTAAATTCCATCTATTTCATCTACTGTTACGTCAAAAGTTTGTGAGAGTAACGTCTTGAGAAAAGCAGAAATTTTCTCAAGCAACCTACTGTTGTACCAATCAGTATCTGCTCACAAGAGCAGATAACTCTGTGTGATAGAAAAAAAAAAGAATATAAATAAAAACTGGAAATCTAACGCATGTAATCTTTAAAGGAATAAGTCTATTGAATATGTGAAGTTCTATTTCAAGATTTCATCATTATTCTGTTAACCATTAGGAACATGCTTTCAATAAACATGTGCAACAATGTATTGTTTGTATGTAAATAAATCGTAAATAAACTAGCATGCGCTATGATTCAAAATCTTAGGTTTTAAGTAAATAACTTCAAACAACCAGTTTCAATTTTCGTTTTCAATCAATTACATTCTTATACTACAGCAATAGTAAAAACATTAAAATTTCAACAGAAATTTCCAGTATTTCTAATATGACACTTTCTATTCCTTACCACACCTGTAAAGCACACTTCCATTTCGAGGGAAGCTCTAGGTGCCTTTGATTTAATTTAGAGATCACATTTTTGTTTGATAATCAAGCAATTACGTGTAGAATTTCTCCTTGCCTGTTTAAAACTCTTAATATTCTTAATTGGAACCATGAACATGTATTGATCACTGAACTGTGATGTTGGTTTGAATGTGGGCTACCTGATACAAAAAATGTCTAAGTATATATCTTGCCATAATTATACAAAACACAACATATATAGGTGCAATGCCATGCCATTACCCTACTGACAAGTACAACAATGGGCCGATATATCATATTTCAGCTGCTTGTATGCATATTTAAAACTTTTCTACCCTAACACAAATAAAACATTGCTGGTTTTCACTGATTACCTACTTTCTATGTAGTCTTATGACACAAACATCCGACATTACATTAAACACCTACAACCTATTTTTTAAATAGCTCTACATTGCACAGTACATTGTATTGGTTTACTATTGGTGTCAACGTCTACAACTGACCTCAGGATCATGAAACAATATTCAAACAGATTCCAGTTCCAAAAATTCAAACGTCCATACTAGCTTTTGGAGTTATCAAAGTGTTTTATGGTCTTGTGGCCATAACATCTCTCAAAACAACAGATTTTACATACCACTATATGAAGGAATACACTTGAAACATTTGCTTTTAAAGCCAACAATGAAACGGTATATTTTTCAGGATTTCCAACATGTGAACCATATATCTAGCATGATGCGGCCATTACTACCTCTCCTGTATGCGTAACTGTTAATTACAGGCTAATACTGGATTATAAATATTGTATGAAAATCAATTAACAATTTTTTTCGCTGTAATCTTTTCAAAACTTTTTCAACTCAATGAAAGAATTGCCAATAAAATATCATCCGTGTCGAGTGGAAATGTCAAAATTTTTTTATAACTTTTCAATTTCAAATTATGTCATGCTGAATATATGTATGTCCTGTTACTGTGTAAAAAACCAACACAATACTATAGGTCTATACATGTACAATTAACGAGTATCCATTTTCATACTTTCATCACATTGTTTTGCATTTTCCTTTAATCTAGAATTGTCAGCACTGCTCTTTAGTAGAATATTTTCCTCTGTGTCATCATAGTTAAATGTATTGTTTGGCACTTTTTGTTGGGCTTCCTGTGTGTTTTCATTCTGATTGATATGGTTGGCCAGTTCAGCAAACTTGGCAACATAGTCTATGCTGTTCTCATTTAGCATGCACTGAAGGGAGGCATCCATCTGTAACATAATATGAAAATTTGATAAAATATTTTCAGTAATTTCATAAATTACTTGATACTGCAGTTGTGGTTATTTCAACAGGGGCTGAATTTTGTGATTTCAATTGGCAAACAGTACCCTTGTGTGTTATATCCATGATTAATGTACCTTCATGTATCTAATGTATTCTATGATATGTATGTACTACGTCACAAATTGTGGGAGAAATTTAGGCAGCTGAATGGCTTCTCTAAATTAAGTATAAATTTCCCAAACACCTAAATTTCCATGTTTACAGTTGATAGAATCTTACTCTCATTTCTATGCGACTCACATTTAATTTATCACACTTGTCCCATAATTTTTTATTTTATTTTTTTTCTCATGCCTTCACGACATTCAGGTACTACAAGGAAGATTCTCACTCATATGCTTTGGATGATGTTGACTATTGATATTTCAATAGTCAAACTTTAAGATTCAAGTTCTCTTCAAGTTATGTACCAATTTTGTAATGAAGATATTTTGAACTCCATCATACTTACATCACTGCGACCCATGATAGAGTCTCGAGAATTCTCATTGAATAAGTTTGTGCTGATGAGGTTGGACAGCGATGACAGGTTGGCACTAGCTACCACGTCTGATGTTCTCTTTAGAGGGGATTCCACTAGAAGGCCCATCAGCATATCGCCAGTATCCTGTAATGGTAGAAATGATCAGTTAGTTATTTACCATATTTATCTGCAATAAATGAAGGGTGTTAAACCATTATCTCTGACTCAAGAAGTCTTGGGATGAGATTATCAGGGTACAATGAAGTTGCATGTGTTTGTAATTATACTAAACAAAACTATACGAAGGAGAACTTATTACCAGGTTTTGTTATAATAGTCGATGAACTGTTTCTTTTTGTTGATAAACCTGTTCATCAGGATTTTAAATGTAACATTTCAAGCATAAATCAACAGATATACAAATATTAATACAGACCTCAAAAGGCTCAGTTGAGGCTCATTAGATAGCAAAATAAGATCACAAGGTTTGTCCACATTTCCCAGACAAACAATCCTTGTTCAACTGATTAAACCACTAAACAAATCAGGTGTGTTAAGAACCACTGGGACAGTGCGATGGTGACCAGGTTTGAGTGAAATACTAGCCTCGTTTGGCCATAGTGAACAGTTGGGACTGTGTGGTGGTGACCAGTTCTTAAGATTTAACAGGTATGAGTGGAATACTTACCTCATTGGGCCATAGTGAACGGCTGGGACTGTGTGGTGGCGACAGGTTCATGCTTTCAGACTTCACTGGGGTGTTAAGAACACTATTGGGATACTTTTTCTGGTTATTACCACCGAGCAGATCTACAAATAGAAAGATAAAAAATGAATTATATCATATATCAATGATTAGGAAACATCTTATACTAAAACTTCCTCATCAAAACTATATTAAGTCTCTTTCGGCATCATATCTCTCATCAATGGCAAAGATGCATGATATTTCATGTATGATGCTGCATTAATCAAATTTTTAACATTAGTAAGGTCTTGCCAACAGACTTGGCATTTTTTAAAAGCTGAAACAAATTTACAACTTATCAGTGAAAACATCGCAAAATCTAAATACAGTATACCAATAAATGAAAATTTTCAAATGTTGGGGCTTTTATCAACTCATTCAAGAAAGGGACATCTTGTTTTATTTCAGAAAACTGATCAATTTGGAAGAAAAAATTCAAGGATTAAACATTATATTTTGGGTATTTGATTATATTATGAAATAAATCCGGTAGGGAATAATGGGACTCATATATGGCCCCACAAGAGTCCCTAGAAAAAGTTCTGCAGCCTTGAGTAAATGTGAAATAGTCCATTAATGTGGCAGGATTACAATAAGAATGTAAAGCATTTAAACCATATTGGTGGGTAGCAATCCTGCCAAACAACAGATAGCAATGTAAAATTGCAAGAAAATAACAAACAGAGCATTTATGACAGAAGAACAATCAGAGTCATCCTTTTCTTTTGTATTCACAGATTTATCATTGAAAGAACAAATTTGGCATTATCAGCCAACAAAATATCCTGAATATGTTTCACAGAAGATTGATACCTTAATTAAGATATTGATCACATTAAGTAACGAAGTAGATTCTGCAGTATGTCTTATTTACCTTCAAAATGGTTTGTATTGTTTGAATTTCCCATCGCAAGCTCAAGGAGTTTCTCTGTGTTATCAGTGTCTGTAAACAAAAGAATAATACTGGTGAATCAGCATGTGGAAAAAAAATCAAAAGATTGAAGTATTTTGAACCAAAGTTACATAATATTTAGGGTTTAATAAAGTGCCCTGGTTTGGTGGATGCTAAATCCTTTATCCAAGGACTTCATCCGATCCTTTCCACTTGAATTTTTCTGTATTTCACCTGTTCCTATTTGTAGGGGAGACAGATTTGATTAAAGTTGAAAAACCTGTTTCAGGATCAATTTGGACTTGTAATATGCTTGTATTATTATACTATTGATCATAGTTGTTGTTGAAGTTTAAATAAATGTGGTTGATAAGTGTGAAATCTTTTAGTTTACACATTGTACACAAAACTAAACAAATATTGTCTTACTTTCTAAATATCTGTATTGATGTCCTTAACTTTAACAAACAAAATACAGTCTACCAAGGAATTTTCATGATTCCACACACAAACACAAACTTGTAGTCCCTCCCACTAACCTGTTGTGTGTGTTGGACAAGAATAGATACCACTCACCTGTAGGTATGTTGGACAAAGAAATATCCAGCAGAGATGAAATACTTGGCGGTGAAATGGAATGATGTATGATGTTTGCTGCTGTTGTGGATGTCGTGGAGCTAGACTCCTTGGTTGGTGTACTTTTTGTGAACACAGGTGTAGATGTCACGGCTACCACCCCACTTATAGCACTCACTAAATTGTTCTGCAAGAAGGAATTTAGCGTATATTATAATATCATCTCCTACAGCAGAGAAAGTACCAGCTATTGTACCACCAAATAGAAATCTCCTACAGCAGAGAAAGTACCATTTATTGTACCACCAAATAGAAATCTCCTAGAGCAGAGAAAGTACCAGCTCTTGTACCCTTAAAACAGAAATCTCCTAGAGCAGAGAAAGTACCAGCTATTGTACCACCAAATAGAAATCTCCTACAGCAGAGAAAGTGCGAGCTATTGTACTATCAAATAGTAAACCATCTAAATAAGGAACACATATGTACAGATGTTGATACAGACAACATGTCGCATATGTACACATGTTGATACAGACCATCCGTCACATATGTACAGATGTTGATACAGATATTCAGTCACATATGTACCTGTAAGGACACTGGTGAACCTGGTAGAATGGTAGCTGTAGCAGGGAGACCGGTCTGTATTGGAAGGGTACTCCTTCCACCAGAGACTGCTATAAAAAGAACATACTTGTATCATCATTTGACACAATTTTCCATATGTTTCCTATCTGGATATACAGCAGTATTATTACATTATTCCATTATCTATATCCAACCATCATTAAGTTTTATTTTTTTGTTATTATTCCAGATGTCGGTGGTAACATAATATTCCTTATTTATCTGCTTCAGATGTATTTATTGAAACAGAAATTAAACCACGGCAGTATATAATTTTCTGTTTCTCATTGGTAACATTAACATTAATTACACCAATGTTCTGTGTTAGATGTATACTGTTGTATATATATGTATACCGGTAGCATTTTGCAGTATTCTGTTGCTGATTTGAGTATTTGGCATATTCACAGGAGAAACACCAGGTGCTTGTATGTTGACTGGTACACCCATGGGCTGTCCAATGATTGTGTTTGGGCTCTGAACAGCAGTCACTGTAGAACTCGTTGGCATGGGAACAAAGGTCAACATCTGCCTTGGCGTGGTCTTAGGCAAGAGTGTTCTCTGGACCACCATAGGCTTCCTGTTGACTGGGCGTACGCGCCGCCCCTTGTGAGTGTTCTATAAACAAATTAAAACAAAATGCAAATCAAATTCATAAATAATAAGAATGCATAACAGACTATTTCAAGGGGAAAAAACTGTTAATTGGTAATCAACAGCATATGATAAAACAGGGCTCTCACACCCTATTTTGGGACTGGGGCCCGGGTCCCTTAGAATTGGGAAAAATAATGGTGTTTTCCTTAGAATTGGGAAAACTTAGGGTCTAAATTGGGAAAAAAGATACTATTTTGCATTGGGAACTTGGCCCCAAATCTGGCAGATCGAGAGCCCTGTAAAACAACCCCCGATTCCAGTGAAAATCTCATAAAATTAAACATAATGGTTTTACTAACTATCCACATGGAGTGTAACCTGGTGATAAATACTTACAGTATAGAGCTCCATCTGGTGTAGGGATATTTGATTGACACTCGTTTTTGTGTTTTTTTGCAGAAAGGACGGACCCGCAACTGGCACTCGGAAAACGGCATCTTTGCTGCCTTGACTAGAATTCTGTTAGCAGAAAAACCGCACACGTTTTATTCTGAAATCACTGATTATCACATTCAGTGCATTTGAATTTCATTTAAACTAACACTAACACTAAAATTGTATTATTAGTACAATATAATTTTAATGAAACCAAGTTATTCCTAAGGAATATGCAACCATTAAGATTCCTTGGAAAAATTAAACATTGTATCATTTAGTCACTTCACTCCAAATCCGAATCTTTAAAATATGCCAATTTGAAACCCAAGACAATTTCCTAGAAGTAAAGAAAGAAAAATCCCAGTAACTCTAAACTAACATGTTATCAATTGATTTCAGTCAAGTTGCAGATTGTGAGAAAATACCAAGAATTCCTGGCTGAAACTAGACTGCTAAGCTTACTTCATTTTGTTTGTTTTGCAGTGTCGATATTGTTTGGGTAGCAACATCCACTAATCCTTCACCACCCATCTTAGACACAAGAGGGTATTTCCCCATGGGTTTTTGTCCCTTGCTTCCAGCAGCATTACGAGCACCAGAACCCTTTGCTTTACTGGCTCCACAAGTCTGACATGGAGAACTGGAATTGTTGGATGTCTAAAACACACAGAGAATAAAAGTAACATTGCCAGGAAAACTTCTGAAAAAAGGCTAAGTCTTAAGAATATTTTGCAATGAAATCAATTGAAAAAGAATACATTTGCATGTTTTTCACCAGAGAAAACAAAGAATGACCAAAGATAATTAATAAATAATAAGATTTCATACAAAATTACATGAAACAAAGGCAATCACTGCTTCAGATTTTAAGAAATAAATGATATCTTCAAACTGCAAATATTGACTTTTAGTACAATACCTTTGTACATCAACCTGTGAGATAATGCAGCATGGTAGTGTGATAGGATAGTTAGCAGTAAAAACAATGTAACTGATCGCACCTATATAAGTGTACTGTGATAATTAGCATAATGTATAATATTTATGAATCTTGTTATATCATTTTATCTGTTACTCACCAAAAGGGTAGTGACTTTTCAAACTATTGAGCTCATTTTTGATAAATTCAATATAATAAAAAACACTCACAGGTGGATATCGGGAAGACACCGATATATAAGCATTGAACTGCTATTGTTTGGCATTCATGAGCATATGAATGCCAACAGAATTAAGGCCAATTAAAAGAAGTATGTTCGCACAAGGAATTTACATTTATTAAAATTTGACAACAGTTCAATGCTTATATTAACAGTTTTCAATTTTCATCTTAAAATAAGGTGAGACTACTTTAATTTGCTAACAAATAAATAAATTCCTGTAAGTTCATGAGCTGGTAATAAACAACAAATATTGGTAAGATTACATCATAGCAATGGCACACATCAATATTTAATCCTTTCCATCAATGACAGCTCCAGCCATTACCTACCTTTGAGAAGTCAGTGAACTCAGTTGTGGCTAGGTGTACCAATCTCCTCAGCATATTGGTCAGTTTGGAAGTCAACTGGTCATCAGGGGTAACACACCACTCATATTCCAGGCGTAGTTTGCCATCTTTTCCAAACATAAGATACAACTCAGCCACTGTCAAACTGTCAGCCATATTCATATTCCAACCCTTTTCTAAAATCTCCTTCATTCTTTTCGTTTCTAAATACTCCTTTTCATCACCAGATTTCTCACTTTCCCCACTATCATTTACCACTGGATTTGCTTCATCATTACTCCCACCCTCAGCACCTTTCTCTGTAGCATTGTCCTCAGCTAACTCCACTGATGTGCCCTTTGTATCACAGTTACTTCCCTTAGCCTCATCTCCAGCAGCTTCCAACCCTTTTTTTGCAGCTGACATCATATTATCTGGAAACATAGCATTTTCATCATCAACCATAGCACTGACATCGAAGGAGCTAGTGGCTGCCTGAGCTGGCAGGTCCTTCGTTTGGACTTTACTAGAACGAGGAGAGTCAAATATCACAGACAAAGCATTCAACTCGGACGAGTTCTCTGTATGGTTTTTAGCAAGGTCTCCTTTCTTTCCTTTGGTTACAGAAGGTGAACCTGTAAAATCACAAAACTCAAAATATACTTTTATGCTTTTGACCACATTCAAATTTTACAAAGGAAAGATTTTACAACTTAAACAATTTAATTCATTATTCATAACTTTCCATAAGAAAATATTGTATACTTATCTAGTAAATAATTATTCTGTGCTGGGTTTTGAATCATTATTTATTCATTGGCCAGACAGGTTAGTACAACTCCAACAATATTTTCTTCAGTGACTTTAGATACAGATAAATTCAGTATCAATGTATAATATTGTCACATATCGTTATTCACTCTCGTATCAAGAACATTGTCACATATCGCTATTCACTCTCGTATCAAGAACATTGTCACATATCGTTATTCACTCTCGTATCAAGAACATTGTCACATATCGTTATTCACTCTCGTATCAAGAACATTGTCACATATTGTTATTCACTCTCGTATCAAGAACATTGTTACATATCGTTATTCACTCTCGTATCAAGAACATTGTCACATATCGTTATTCACTCTCGTATCAAGAACATTGTCACATATCGTTATTCACTCTCGTATCAAGAACATTGTCACATATCGTTATTCACTCTCGTATCAAGAACACATACTTAGCAAGTTTTCCTTGTAGTTGTTGAATGCTAGTGGTATCCTACGTTCCTTTGTTGCCTTGAGAGACACAGGAACCACATCACACTCCTGATGAGGAAACAAAGTAAGGTCCTTGTCCAGGAGACATCCCCCCTCGAGATCCTCACGCTAGACAGAGGTCAAGGTTATTTTCTCTTCTGAATAAATAGTCTTTACATCATCTGATTTCATAAAAACTTGACGAATTTGTTCAACATTTTTGAACGCACATAAAGATATTTCCCCTATAATACCATGTTTCCTCTCTTGCCATCTTAATCTTACAAGCTACATTTAAAACTAGGAGAAAAAATAAACAAAAAATACAGATACTAATAAAACGATCAAATTAATCAGTTTATTACAATACTAGCTTCTCTGAGAGATTGATAAACTTTATGACTTTTCAATGTTATAAATCTTTATCTAAAATAACTAAGAATAGGATAGTATTCCTCAAGAGTACCCTAAAACCGCAGGCAATATGCACATCTATGTAATATGTGCAGATATTTTTTTAGGTTGAAAATATTGAAAACATAAAAACAGACAGGTGATCATAGCTTCATCGTCGCGATATCCAACATGAAGGAGAATCAAATGAAACCTGCCAATGTCTTAACAGTCGAACATTTAAGATAATCATATTATAGACAACATATTTTCCATATTATAGACAACATATTTTCCAATGTTCAAAACAGACTTTGCAGATCAGTAGTATTTTGTCTTGCTAGTTGCTATCATGATTTTAAACACTATGTCCCGATTATGAATGAAATTGACTCGCATACTTTGCATTAATTAAACCAGTAATTATCTTAATATTTACAGTTGATCATTAAGAAATTGTCAAATCCTTTTTGTGTCAGTTTTGCAGTTTGCATGGGGTTTTACAGTATTCAACAATATTATTTCTTTATGTACAATTAAATGAACATCTTCACCCAATTTGAATTTGACAGTCAAGTTTTAACCAAAAACTTTCCAAATTCGACCTTTGTGAAGCTTAAATTTTGTCCACAAAAGAAACCTGTTTCTGCTGACTTAAGCTGATCATATTTTCAACAATCAAATTTCTAATGGATATGACCAAAATCAGTAACAACAGTATATTTCTTGATTTAATGATGATCCAGGATACAAGTTTAACATTGTGTGGTTTCCACTTCTGACTCAGAAACTTGATAATTGAAGATAGCTTTTTCTCCGGCTTCAGCATCATTCGTAGCCTGGGGTTTTGGGACATCTCCTGAACATATGCCCATGCTGCATTGGTCCTGGGGTTTATGTCCAGGTAAACTCTGTCTGGCACCTGGACACCTGTTTCTTCTTCAGGTTTGGGATCTAGATGGTCGGGAAAAAAGGAAAATTATCTTCCAATGGATTCACACAAGAATAAATGAGATTTCAATATTATTAAATTAACGTAACAAAATGAATGTCTTAAAAGTTGATTATTAGACTAAAATGTCGTGACTATTTCAGATTCTATATGCTACTACAACAAAATATTAAATAAAAATTGTCTACACGCAATCTGCTGTATCAATCAGATTTTTACCCATCATAGTGCTCTTATTTTTAGAACAGTATGTATAAACATCACCAAGCATTAAACATTGTTTTACAAGTATACTTGACATAATATTTTTTTCTTTTTTTTTTTTTTTAATTTTGTGTACTTAATATAATGAAAAACAATACTTTGGCAACTTACACAAATTGACATATCAAGTATTATAAGCACACGTTGAGTGACTCATGCTATCAATGAATTTATGTTTTAGGCCCTGGTACAGTCATGGATTCAAAACTTCTTTTGCAAACAATAAGATTCAGAAATAGAATACTATAGAAGACAATGTAAGAAATAACAAATGTTATTTAATTCTGAAATTTGATATACTATTCATCAGTGTATGTGGAAGAATTGTAATACAAAAACTTGCCATCAATGTTGTTGATTTTCTTCAAAGCATTACAGGTAGGTGTCTTGATCCTAAAATATAACAGCATAAATTTTAAAAGACAGCTGTCAGAGCATTATTTCGTCAGAACGGTCTATATTAACTTTGGAGACTAAATTATAAAAATGATTACTGTGTTATAATTATACATTACTGTACATAGACCAATATCATAAGTGCTTAAAGTTTTTTTGTTTCATTCATAAAACATGCTAATCTATAAAACGAGCTTCCATATGAAGAAGTTAGGAATGTGATATAATCAAAGTCAAATGGAACTGACCATGTCACTCAACAAATATGAACATTCATTGCTATTTAATGACATGGATATGAATTCCAGTCCAGCCGTTACATATTTCCTTTTTTGCAATATTTATAAACCTGCAGCTGTTCTCCTTCATGATGTTTAGTGAGAAGCTGTCTGCCCAGAGAGACCCCAAAAACAAATAAACATATTACCAATTAACTAGATGTAAAAAAACAGCTGAGTTTGCACCCAGTGGTTCTGTATGATTATCAGTATAGACCTTGGCAGTTCCAGCTCTGTAGAATTATCAGTATAGAACAAGGCAGTTCAGCTCTGTATAATTATCAGTACAGAGTTTGGCAGTTCCAGCTCTGTAGAATTATCAGTATAGAACAAGGCAGTTCAGCTCTGTTTAATTATCAGTACAGAGTTTGGCAGTTCCAGCGCTGTAGAATTATCAGTATAGAACAAGGCAGTTCAGCTCTGTATAATTATCAGTACAGAGTTTGGCAGTTCCAGCTCTGTAGAATTATCAGTATAGAACAAGGCAGTTCAGCTCTGTATAATTATCAGTACAGAGTTTGGCAGTTCCAGCTCTGTAGAATTATCAGTATAGAACAAGGCAGTTCAGCTCTGTATAATTATCAGTACAGAGTTTGGCAGTTCCAGTTCTGTAGAATTATCAGTATAGAACAAGGCAGTTCAGCTCTGTTTAATTATCAGTACAGAGTTTGGCAGTTCCAGCTCTGTAGAATTATCAGTACAGAGTTTGGCAGTTCTAGCTCTGTTTAATTATCAGTACAGAGTTTGGCAGTTCCAGCTCTGTAGAATTATCAGTACAGAGTTTGGCAGTTCTAGCTCTGTATAATTATCAGTACAGAGTTTGGCAGTTCCAGCGCTGTAGAATTATCAGTACAGAGTTTGGCAGTTCAGCTCTGTAGGATTATCAGTAGAGAGTTTGGCAGTTCCAGCTCTGTAGTGTTATCAGTAGAGTTTGGCAGTTCCAGCTCTGTAGAATTATCAGTATAGAGCTTGGAAGTTCCAGACTCAAATCCCAATCTTGCTGGAACATTCCTTTCTTTTTTACATCAACATATGTATTCTTGTCATAAAGGAATTTCAGAGAAAACATGGAAATAGTTGGAGTCCTCTACAACTTTAAAACGACTCAACATGATATGGGAACTCTCTATTGTTATGAGTTTTGAATTTCCAAAAAAAAATATATCTACCTGAAGTTCTTTCCTTTGATTTTGATAGTGGTGGATCTGCAAAATATGATAAACACATGTTTTTTCTATGAAGTTTTCAAAACATGACTGATAATCATTCTTTTTCAAAACAATACTCTACAATTTTCTGTATTCATGAAAGACAAAGAGCAGGTCAACTTACCAAGCTTTAAGTACAAAAGATGTCAACAAGGGTGGTTATTCTACACGAAGATATAAATCACTTCAATCATCTTTAGCATATTACCTTGTGTCAAAGGATTCGTGAACTTAAACTAAAACTAAAGAATTATTAAGCAAGAATAACGACAGTAAAGTTAGATGTAAAATAGGCCAGTCAATCAAATTTTGAATTTTTTCTGAAAATACACTTAATACAAACAATAGGAATAATCAATTTCAATAAATTTAACTTTTCTTTAATAAATCAAATATTTGTGAGGAAATTTTAAAATGTTCATCCATCTTGCACTATGAGCTACTACTTAAAGTCTTACCCAGTGTGAATTAATTCATCCAACTTCAAACCATTCTTATCATTCAAAGCTGAAAGAAAATAAAACAATTTTAACGTCTTCACTAAATGCTCTGATAAGTTGATCTATCGAATGAAAATAAAATAGAAAAACACAATTTCTTCAATTCAAATCACAAAATTTACAGGAGTACAATAACAATAATGAGGGACATCTTATCCTTCAAAGTGACATGATAATATCTTAATTTGAAATGCATACAAATAAATGGAAATGAATGGACACAGTACAATCAGCTGCACAACGGTTAGAAATCCTGTACCATGCAATGTATATTTAACTAGTTTTTCTGAAAATGTTTTTTTCAAGCTCAACTATGAGTGTTTTGATGCTGTTTTACACACCTGCTTTGTGCTTCTTCCACAATACACCATAGTTGATCAGGCCATACAACTCTTGGGTCTCTTTTTTGGTTTCTGGAATTAAAAAAAAAAGATACATTAAATTCTTTAAACAGCTAGAAGGCAAGGACTCATCTTTTGTTAGATCTAAAGTACTAAAATACCACACCAAGGTACTTCGGATAGATCAACACCAATATTTGGAATCTGGCATAACAAATCCGTGATTTGTTAGAATCTCCATTCATGATGTTAACTAGAAGGAGATGTCTATTTGAATTAAGGAAACATATTTAACTTGAGTTGAGAATGTTCCTGTAGCTCATATGATGACAGAAGAACAGCAAATAATCAGGGCAAGAGTCGGAGAAAAATTGACATTTTAAATAGGTAACTATCAATTAATCAAGAGTACGAAATACAGATTGAGAGTTGAATTATCAGGCATTCAGTTATCTGACTGTCAGTATTGGAGAAAGGGTAGAACTTGGCACTAAGTCAACACAAAACTTCACACTGCTTATTTCATCACAGCCATATTGAGACAGCAGGTAAATATTTGGTTTACGTTGGGAATGTGTACAAATTTTGAAAAGTTTGAAACCCCTTAATCAATACATTTCAAAGGACGAGAAACTTATAATTACATAAAATTGAGTAAGAATCATCCATCGGACAAGGGACTGATGGCAGTCATCAAGTCCAAAACTATATACCAGGAGAAAATCAAGGACCTCCTTCTCCACTGCAGCACATAAGTCTTAAAAAGGATCCTACACCAAAATTAGCACAACTTTTACAAAACTTAAGAGACAAGGTTGTAATTACTTATGAACAAGTTGTTGTCAACACAGATTTATACCCACATCTATGATCAGACGTCCCTAAATTATAAAGATACAAAAGCCGCCGTCCCTCTCAGGCCCATAGTGTCTTCTAGGGATCAGCAGGGATATCAGACCACCACATTCAGAACTGTATTACACCTTCTGCTGACAAATGTGTCATATCCCATTTTAGCATGTGTACCAAAACAAGAGTGGACATGTACACCAACCTGTAGGATATGATTTCTCTCTCCAACATAGATCAGACTATAAACACCTGTATCACCATACTGTTTTCCCCCCACTAGTTTGGAATAGGACATTTTTACGTCATTTTAGAAAGAAATTTGGTAAAGAGAGGAAAATTTTCCAGAGTAAATAAGAAAATTTTTGAGTTTGTTTTATATATGAAATAATACAAATTAGGAAAAAGGGGTATATCATTGGCACGAATAAGCCTTTAAAAAATGCATGGAATCTCCAGCAAACCCTAATATGGCTAACAGTTTGTTCATTGAACACTTCATAGTACTCCATTCCCACGGGTAAAAGGAAACAGGTTTTTTTTCCTACCATGCAATATTAATGAAATACCTACCTTTGTCGATGTCCACAAACTTTGATATTTTGTGCCAGGTTCTGTAATAGAAGTGGCGCACCTGGTCTTTGTTCTTAATGAGCTGTGGCGCCACCCCTTTCTTCTTGCATTTCTGAGCGATCACATTTTGAATGGCATCAAAATCTTTGCCGTGCTGAAAAAAATTAAAAACATGAAATTAATAAATCAAACTTTCTTTCAGATGCTTTGAAAAGTTTTGAAGGTTTCATCCAATTTCTTCAGATATTTCATCAGCATTTCTTTCTTTTCATTTAAACATAATTCTATGAACTTAACTAAACTAGCTTTCCATTGGTAATATCTATATCTCAACAAGTAAAGAGAGGTGGTATACAAACTGCTTGCTATTTTTTCCATTCCGACTTTCATGAAGTCTAGTAAAGATTACATTACATAAACATATTGAACAGCAGGTTAACATATGTTGTCATTTACAAATTAATGTGTAATTTCAAACCTCATACAATCCTTCAAAAAATGTTGCTTTGTCCTCTGTACTCCATAGCTCCCACTGGCGTTTGGTCTTTGTCTCTGGGGTACTACTCTTGATCTCCTTTACTGTAAGGTGAATTAAAAAATCTGATTTTTTTTTCTTTTCATTTGCTTGCAACAATATTTTAATTCATGATAATGTTTACTGTGAATTTGAAACACACCTATGGAAAATATCAATACCAACTGGTCAGCAGACACATACAGAAAAATCCACATGAAAGACAATGGACTTCATCATACTGATCTGTCTAGACCATGCAGGTATTACCTTGTAATATTACCACACCCACAATATCACACAGTTCGGTGATCAATTATATAGACTGTCTCTACATTTCTTTAAATTGTTACTTAAAACAGAATTCTAAATGTTTCCTGATGTTTCATAATACTTGATACTGAAATGAATCTTATTCATGGTGACATGCAACCCCATGATCATAAAAGAGTGGGGTTTACACACATGCCTTCCTGGTAAGGCAATGGAAAACCCTCTGTTTTATTTCCCTGTTAAGACTACAAGACAATGTAGATTTTTTTCACTAAAACATTATGTGACATTATTTAACCATGTCATTACATTATGTTATTACAGGTAACAATCAAGTTTGTTGATACTCAAGTTTTTTCCGTCTTGTAAAGTTTCTTTTTACAAATTCAGATGAACAAAAACCGATTCATAAAGAAAATAAGTCATTTCAGGCAATACTCATTGCTTAATGGTAGCTATTCTCAATGTGATCAGTGTCCATTGGAAGACACGAAAGGTGTCAAGACACATGATCAGTTAAACAAAGATGTAATTTATGAAACTCATCATAATATATACATATTTTGCAACCTTATTCTTAAAATTGTTTCATAAATTCACATCAAATTAATGAAAATTCATGCAAATTCCTATATCTATGACAGTATATCTAAATGCATACATGCCATTGATAAAATAAACATTGTTGAAAATTCCTTGTAGTTACTTATTTAAATAATTTACACATCCTACAGACTGAAGAAATTCTGTAAAATGTTTTTCTCCATACTTTCCCATTGATTAATGATCTATTGTTTTCAAACTTTAAAAAAAAACATTTAAAATATCTTTTAACTACAGATTTTCATGCATTTTCACACAAAATTACAAAACAGCTAGAAAAAAATCATTATTTTTAAATAGCAACTTCTTTTTTTCCCTTCTTCTGATCATAACAATGATAAACAATGTATGATCATCTAATATAATGTAAAATATGTTTTCTGTGGTAAAAACAAACATGTCTCCTGAAATTTTGAAAGATGTTTGGACAATCCTGCTGAATGGTAATCCTTAGAAAACATTCACAGATTTAGCCATCAATAGAGTTTGAATTGCGTGCGGACAAAAATAAATAACAAGAAAACAATTAAGCAAACTGTATAAATCCTTTGTCTGTTGAGCATTTTGATGAAAATGAAATTTTCTACTATATAAATATTAAAATAATGAAATCTATGATTGTTCTCTATCCTTGTGCATTATCAAATGAAAATATGTCTGCTTTGTCCAAATCATAGCCAGATCTCACACACATAAAATGTAAATGAAGTAGGTAAATATGCTACTGGTCCGGGATTCCTACCACTATGTATTGATTTGCCGGTGTTCTAGCATAGGGCCAGAGTTCCCATGGTTACACACAGACAATATTGAACCCGTTTCGTACCCGATTTCTTAACGGGGGATTCTGGTGGACTGAGGTCTCTTTTTGGTCTTTTGACAATTCTCGATCTTGTTGAATTCGATCTTGTTACTGCCCCACTTCGCCTGGGAACTTTTCCATTCCGACCTTCACTTGGCCCTGCTGTATTTTCCGGTTTATTATCGGATCCTTCGATGCACTTGTTACCTCCCTTTGTGTTTTTATCTTCGATCACTGCATCCCTAGGGTCAATAGTCATTCTGTAAACAATAAGAATGGTGTTATGTTGTTTGTAGCGCTTTTAAAATGGATTGATATCTCAAAATTATTGTGTTGTGATACGAAAGAAATATTCAAAATGGCTGCCGTCTTTGATGTAACAACCGCCATCAAATGTAATGATTTTACGGAGGATGTTAATAAATTATCAAGTCAAATATATTTGAAAAGTATCTCATTTAAAACAAGGTCATAAGGAGCTAGATATTAAAGAGTATCATATGGTGTAGTCCATCAATTTTGAAAACTACTTCAAACTTTCGAGCAAAAACACAGCCAGAGAAATCAAAATGGCGGTTCGTTTTCTTACCGATTTTCTATGCATTCTGTCGAATTTGCATCCCCCTGTGTACTTTTACGTCGTCTGCCAAGAGGCATATGGATGAATGATTTTATCCACGATTAAACCTGCGATTCATATCAATAGTTGCATGTGAAATGCTCGTTCACAATTCACAAAGCACGAATGCAATACATACAGCTGTTCAAGGAGTGCGGCAAGATGAAACGATCATTTTTCGTTTGCCTACCACTGGTCCGATCGTTTTACCGCATGTTCCTAAATGCCGAATTGTTTCTCGGTGATTTCCACTTTCTAAATATTCATGTGATAGTTGTGAAAACTAGCCAAATGCATTAATCTATTGCTATGAAACGTTGTGTACAATCCAGAAGGCGATCGTTCGCAAAATAACACACAAATGGTCATGTGACATATATTTATCCAGTTAGAAATTACTGTATTCCTCATCTTTTCTTTGCCTTTTAAACCAGGAAAAACACATGACATTTTTTCTGGTGATATGCTAGGATGAAAAGGTGTAGCCTACAATTTAATTTAACAGTATATTCATTTCAAAACCAGTTGTCACAAATAAGTCTCTACATATGACCTTATTTGTCAGTCATAATTATACAAAAGGAAATTTTGAAAGAAAATGTGCCGAAATTTTTAACGAATTCAGGCCGTTCAAAGCCTGATATGTCAGGCCATCTAGTTAAATCAAATATACCGTTATATCCCATACATTTATTTTACTTTATACCTAATTTCAAATCAACATTACGCGTAATTATCCTTCTGAAGACATTTATTACCCATGGAACATATTACCGAGAGTCTGTGAGACACGACGAAACAAAATCAATCATAACACTTCAATATTAACTGAAATAACCAAGGAAAATGAAGTTCATACAATGTTGTTTTTTATTTTTAGCGTATAAGTGTATCTTTCGCTTACGCAATAGATAATTGCCGTACACAAACCGTTCAGCTGTCAGTCTAACAGTGAAAACAACTCATTTCCTGAAGACACCCTGCCTTGCAATCGAAGTAGATATATTCAATTCCCACCAAATTGGAATAGTCAATATACAATTTATTGGTAGACCGATGATCTATGAGCCAGTGATTGACCTAAAATATCACAAAGGATGCACGTAAATGACATGCATTAGTAAAATTTAACAGTAAACAATTACCTCGTGTCAATGTTGTGGCAAGAAGTCTTGGCGGGAAGTCAAATATGGGAACCCCTTCATTTGATTGGTTGAAGTAATCTGATCAATGGGAAACTCCTAATGTCGCAATATACTATTAAATGTTAATGACATTTAAAGATTGTTTAAACTCTTCTTCCATTTTCAATAATTAAGCAGATCCACGGCTATCATCATTAATTTAAACGTTTTTGCAAAGTAGTAAGACCAGCATACAACCTGTCGTTAGAGGTCAAAGGTTCCACAATTTTCTAACAAGAATCCTCATTGGTCGATTCATTTTCCGAAATTATCCAAATTTCATTATTCAGTAAAGAATGGATTTGAAATAAACAAATGCAATTATTTGAAGTTATTTTAAAAACACCGTCTTATGTTTTGAAATCGATAATGAAATGTTTTAAAAATCAGGTGACCTCAGGTCATTCCTACGGTGATATCTCGTGATGACATCATCGTGTGCGTGAAATTCGAAAGGCGCAGGACTACAGCCACTTTGTGAAAAATCAACTACCGGTACAGAACTTACAAAGTTAAAAGCATGTCAACAAATACATTCCAAGGTCTTGGTGACGAAAGGAAATCTTCTAGGTTAGTTCAGTCTATTATGTCGAAATTTTCCTTATATTGAGACCAAAATATATCAATTTTATCGTTGTTCTGCTAGCATGTACCAGCACGACCCAGATTCACATTGCCAGGGAGGTGCCGGTGTATGGAGTCACTTTGCCCATTTGATAAGTCATCACTAATATATCGGATGTAATAGTTTACAGTAACGTCTATACGTGTAACTTGAATTTGAACGAAGCTGCCATTTTCGAAAATCGGCGACCGAAAATTATTTCGCATGCACCCATATTAAATAGAATGGCTAGAGTAATGTCCCCTTGTCAACTTTAGCATCATATTTATGCACATTTAGTATTTTGTGTGCACTACTAAGACTAATTTTATTGATATAATAAGAATAATGGAGCAAAATTCCGATACAGATAAGTTTCAGTACTGTAGTAGACCTATTTTCATTTCCCCACAAATCATCTTCTGAATGGATTAATGTAAAAATATGGTATTTGATTTCATTGATAAAATAATTATCAATTTCTTGCAAGTCAGAAATTTGATAATTCTAATTACTCTGTCTACATTATATTTAACGTTGCTTAAGATATACTTTCCATTAAATATATAGAAACAGCAGGGCTTGTGTTAATTTCCATTACGTAAGGACTTTCATATGTCTATATAAAGTAACATAAAACAAATCAAGCAAATGAAAGAGCATATGATTTTAAAGAATGCTCCATCAATTCGATGAAAATAATGTGAGATTTTATGTTACAGATTAGCAGGTTGGGAACTTTAATTTGCAAAGATCGATTTGGAAGTTCAACACAAATTCATAAAGCAACCTTGAGATCCAAATTAGTCTTCTCGGCATAATGGAAAAGGAATTTTAAGTCATAAAATGAATGTTAAGCTTCTCCTTTTCAATATATCTCTTAAGTCTTGTTTGCTGAATGAAACATCAATTATATCAACAGAAAGTTCCACAAACAAGGATATAACTACTTAAACATTTTGTAATATTATGCAGGGTTTTGCATAATTTTGTTAGTAATAGGCTGTGTAGTGAAAGTAGGAGGCTGGCAAAGCCAGCCGCCCCGAGCCGCAACGCGGCAAGGTAGGAGTGGCCTGCCGTGTACGTTTAAGGAACATTATTTCGGAACTTGATTGGTGTAGGCGGCCAAATGATCAAAGTAACTGGTCAATTTGGCCGGCGACCTACTCTTATGGAAAACCCTGATTATGAAATACTTACATCACAATTATAAGAAATTATATTTTAAGTCTCATTTGGCATGGACCCTTCCGCAGTTTTTTAGTGTCCATAGTCAGGAGATGTTTTCACAAGCAAAAATAAATGTAAACATATCTGTTTACAGTAAAACCATGCTATTGAAACCACTTCGGGGACTGGAAAAAAGTGGTCTTACTAGCAAGGTGGATCAGATTGGACGCAAAGAACCATAATTGTGTTTCAAATAAAGACTAAATATATTGTTAAGTAATGTACATGGATATTATTCACAATAATAACTAAACTGTATATAAAATGTTGAATTTTTTGAAATGCATGTAAAATAGATAAAATTTGTGAATTGACACAGAATATACATGTATATATTCCTTAGTTTATATCATAATATACATGAAAATTTCCTATTGTTAATGAATCAAAGAAAACGAACAATCTATTTTCAGTTTAATAGGATTTTAATGTTAATTTTTGTTATTTTTTACATGATAAAGTTCATCTGTGTTATGTGAAAGGGAAACAATGTTGTAGAAAATTTGGGACAGATACAAGTTTATTTGATTGCTCAAACAATGTTTAGAGTGTAACATCGCTACAAAAAGGAATATCGACTGAAAAGATTACATAATTTACCTTTGGGTATGCAGGGCTTCTAAGGTGTTTAACAGCATACCTACTGATCTATCAATATATAATTAACAAACAATAGATTGCTATTAAAACATGTCTGGCAAGCAGTTTTACACAGGTAGGCCAAGTTAATCCGATAATGATGTTTACTTTGTGTAATGCCACCTGGTCTTAGGGTCGGTAAACTGTGACAAAAACAATGGTCAAGATCGACACATGCTCGCAATCCACTGCCCACTAGGTAAACTTGAATCACTGGTCAGGGCTTAGTCGTAATTGTGAGGTCAATTACTGTTAATTAGTGGTCGTTGGGAATGTAAGAAGTGGTCGTAATACGGAATAGCAGGGTGGTTGTAATACTGAAGAGACCAATACAAGATATATAGTGAAAAAAACAGGACTGAAAAACTCAGCCCGTAATAGCGGCTGTAATTTTGAGGTGGTTGTTAGGTGAGGTTTCACTGTAATTCATTGTTATGAGACAAAATGAATAGATTAAGATTGAAAAGGTCAATGAAATGTATTTACTTTTCAGAAAAGTACATTGATTTGCATTTACAACAATTTTAAAAACTAGCACCTGGAGGTAACATTTCATGTCATAAATGTTACGTCCAAAGATATACTGAGAATGATGTTAACTTAAAATTATTTTGGTGCTTGTGTAAACCATGTAATAATGTTAGGTCCCTGCCATTGAGATTAAAAGTGATTTACCTCTTATTATGGTTAGGTTGGTATATATATTTTACGACATCAGGTAGGTGCATATCACAGGATAGTTTCCGACTGTTTAAGACGCATCTGCTCTTCCATAATCCATACAAGTTATTGAATATTTGATATATTTTACCACAAAATGACAGTTGAAGATCAACCACATACAAAATATTGTGACCAATGTGGTTTTACAAAAGCTGTTTGGGATGTAACATGGACTAAGATTCTGAACTGGATGTAATGCAGGACACCATAATTGCAACTGGTGAACAAAAGTATTGTAAAGAGATCAAATTCTTTAAACATTATTTTGAAAATATATATATATTATTTATTCAGTTGTAATATAAAAAAGAAAAGAAAAAACACATACCTACATCTAATAGTACCAAAAAAACTTGTTGATTGCAAAATTGGTGTCCTGTTACATCAGCTAATCACTGTTGTAAATAAAACTTATTTGATGGCCTAAAATTGAAGTTACAAATATTCATGGCAATACATTATTTCAATAAATAGTAAATGTTCATGAATTTGAAAATAGAATTGAAAACAATATATACTTGACAAGGAAATATATTCCCAAATGAACAGCCGTTGTTGTCCTGTTTTATCCAGGAACTCAACATTAACAACTGTATTTTCTCCATTCAAAGCAGAACTATCTTCTCCTTTATTGGCCAGGATGCAACATCGTTTCATGATGGTGTTCACCATGTTTTAAATTTTCGAAGGTGGTTTTCCCGGATGTAACAAATATTTCATGACACCAAATTCTGCATCTTAACCACAACATGTGGCACATGGAACCATCATTTTTGCCTTGAAATGTTTCAGGGGTGTAGAGAGAGAAAGTCATATCCAAAGAGTATCCAGGGGTCCAGAAAAGCACTCGTCCGGTCATCATGGACGAGTGAAAATTGTTTTGGACAACCAGATTTATCTTTGTCAATTGTCCGTCGGACGAGTTCTTTTTTCCAACGATATAAATGTTACAAATTTCAATAAAAATGGAAAGAAAATTTAAAACAAAGAAACATGTTTACGGTACTTTGATAACAAAATATTCCAGTTTGCGCTCTAACTTTTGTTTACACCAGAACTGCCATGACATCAAATATAGCATTCGGAATACCTTAGTCTTTTTCCTGCGGTCATAATGATGTCGGGATCTCTTGGGCGGTACAAACATGTACCGGTCTGTCTTTAGCAGCACCTAGTTAGTCGGATGTAAACAAACACTACAGCTAGGCATAAGTCGTGCACAATGTCTGACACAAATCAGCCATCACTGCATAGTTTTTTCACTAAAATTTAAAATAAAAATAGGAAAAAAGTCGCATGTCACATCCTCGCTGATTAAGTAGCCATTTCATAGCTGAATTTGGACGAGTAAATTTCCAATCACTAGTCCTTTACCTAGTGGTTTGAAATATTTTTCCAGACCACTGGGATCGAGAATGTGCATCCCTGCAAATCGAAGATATTCCCAATTTTCTTGGGCAAATTTGAATTTAATACTAAATCAATGATGACTGTGTACCTGTTATGACTGATATTGTTTTTCAGTTCAACCATTTATATATGTTATATATTAAAATATCTTTATATTATACTTAAGGGTTTTGAAACCCCCTGGTGGCGGATCTAGTAATCTTTTTGGCGCACCACAAGCCACAACTGCTGCTGAATCTGCAAATCAGTCCAAGTCTAAACAGACATCTTCCAACATCTTTGGTGATCCCTATGACCCTGAACGAGATGTTAGAAGGAGTGATCAGAAAAAAGCCGAAGTAGAACAACAAAAGAAGCAAGAATTTGAAACACCAGCATATGTGAGAGCGGAGAAACCACAAGAAGATACCCAATCGAAGTTGTTTGGTGATAATTCAAACCAGTCACGTCGTGGAAAAGGACAAGGTAGGTCTCATTGAAAAGTTGTTTAACATATATATACATGTGTATTTGTTGTGTTTTTCAGGTCTTCTAAGTCTAAGATTACATTAAAAAGATGACTCATGACTATATTAAACATATATCTTTATTCAGACTGCCAATGCTGACTACAGAATAGTTTCTAAAGAAAAAATGTGTTCATTTTATGGTTGTAACCAGATCTTGGCAAACATTTTTTATTCCCTGTGGACATCATATGACAAGTTCTATGTTTTTTGGGGGCTTACAATTATAATGATTAGTATGTTGTGAAGTAAAATATTTATGTGGTAACACGGTACCTTAGTGTTATAAAGTTTTGATGAGAGTCACAGAAAAATCTCAAAACATGTATTATTCTGTGTACGCATTTTCATATCCAGGTACTCTTTATATTTCATGATTGTCATCATTTTCCAGTCTAGTGATATGCTTCAAAGTTGTGATTAGATTAGGAACATCAAAGATTAGAAAGCTCTCTAGCAAATTTTCATTGAAGCCATGTATCTCATTTCTATGCACATTTTGACCATTGTATTGTACTCTGCCTATCATGAATCCTTAATTTAACCCAAATACATATCACTGACATTTAGAAAGTTTCACATTAGATATTAACATCAGACATGTAAAATTGTATTTCTTTGTGATGTTTTATCTTCCTCACTTTTGTCATGGAATTTCAGATAAGGTTACTGTGAGGAGAAAATTTGTTCAGTGTGTACTATTTCGTCTTTGCACACTGGTTGATACAATTTAGGAACTTGTGTAAATCCATTTCAGAAGTTTTAACAACCCATAGCTTTCACCCATCATTTCAAGTGTAAAAATAAAAGTTATATGTTCGAAAAATCATGTTTTACTTCTTGTCTATGGGATGGAAACCTGGGCATTATAAGTGCTTGAAATTTTAGAATGATCGTAATAACTTGATGGCGGTGAGAAATAGAGAGGATTCCAATGGTTGGATAGAGTGACCCTAACTACAATTATGAAATAATTTATTATGTCTGGTTATGCTGAATAGTATTATTTTTGTTTTCTTTTAATTGTGTATGTACACATTGTACACTAGGCAGTCATGTTGTCTTCTAATTCTGACCCTGTCCGAAGCAGTTATTGTTCTTATTCACCAAAGTGGGATGAAACAACTATCATGCACACTCATAAATGTCTTTAACCAATAATCCTAACCAACTACATCAGTTTAATAACAAAGGCTGCTTGATATCATTTCAACTTGTGGTCTGGTTCTTTTGCATCATGTATTCATACTGTGTGTTGTCTGCTTGCCTTAATTATGCGATGTCTACACTTGCCTGTTGTTGTCAATTTCACCTTTTAGAGCTCTTAGTCAGTCTGACCAATAGATCTCGTCATTTGTTTCTTTCTAACATAACTGAGAAAGTACATATTTTTGAAATGCATTAAAAATGATAATTTTGTCTTGTGCGTCGTGTCTCATCTGTACATACATGTGTACATATGTATACTGCCCAGGTATTTGATACACCAAAATAGCTTAGATGGCTTTGCAGTATCTGATATAATGAATAGAAAAAGAATTTTATTCATCTGTAGATGTCTTGGTTTTAAATAAACTATTGTTGACATTCTGAGCTTGTTTAAAACTTGAAATGTAACATGTTTTTCTTTTTTTTTTTTTTCTTTTTTGTTCTTTTGAAATCTGAGTTACTTTAATGTCCTAAATCAAGAAGCTGTGTGCTGTATGTAATATTGAAATTCAGGCAAGTCAGATTGGACAGAAACCAAATGCAGATCTTTTGGTCAGACATTGCATTTAGTGTATGCATGAAAGCCTCTTGTTCACAAATTGTCAGCTGTTTAACATAACATTTATAACTGTAACTAGGTGAAGAGTTTCCAGCCTATGACCGCTCTGTATATGCAGCTCAGATGGTCCACCAGAAAAACAACGTTCAAAGAGGTACATGTGGACTAGTGTTGTGAGCTTGTGACACCTGTTAGGGAGCCCCAACACCAAAAATTTGTTTATGTACCCAAGTATCTCTCATTTTCAAATAATGTACATGCAAATTACACAAGTGTCACATCCAGCTGTTAAAAACTGACCAATCTTGATATGCATACATCACACACTTATTATACAAGGGTGGATTTTCTTAATCTTTTATTTTCATAATCTTCTGGGAGAAATAACTTAAAATTATCAGCTTTAGTAGAGAAATTGAAAACTTCACTTTTTCAGTATTAAAGTAATTAAAATTAGAATTGATTAATCACATTGGCAATATCTTATTTCACAATCATAGACTAGAAATGAAGTTTGAAGGCTATTTCAGATTTTAATCTTTGGTTATATATCTTAAAAAATTTAATTGTTATTGTGAATACCGGTAAATAAATTGTATTAAGGATGAAAATGTAATATGCTCAAACGTTACAAGTCCTGCCACTTGGATCAGCAGAGCTTACTGTGTAGCTGTCCAGTACTTAATATGGAACCAAAACCAAGGTTTTAAAAAATAGTTCATCGATGTGCCAATTACTAATTACAGTATTCCGAAACTATGCTGATGGATGGACCCTTAACTGTTTATATGATATCTAGCCTAGCTGAGAAGAAGATAAAATCCTACACCCCAAAAAAGGGGCTATAAATTAACTGCCCACTCTTTGACAATTGATTGTCAGCATTAATGCCTAGCTTTCAAGGAACAGCAACTTTTGCTGTAAAACGAGATCTATCATTGCGTCTAAGGAGTACATATGTACTGTTAAAGAGTGAAGAAACAAGGATGATCTATGCTAATTAACAACAGAAAGCTGTTTACAATGACATACAGTATGGTAAAAACTGGAAAAGTAGAGAAAACATTAAGAATGATGGTGAGACGGATAACTTTTCATGTTATCAGATTTAGCATTTCCTAGAGCTATAAACTGGTGCTGTAAGGATTTTCTAATTATTTGATACAGTAGTAGCGGGGAAGAAATGAGACATCTGGACAGAAACATTTGGTAGTTTTCAGAGCTTGTAGGCCCAGCCATCTGCCATCTGGATAGTATTTAATCTACATTCCATGTGTCACTGGTACACTGATACAGCAGTAGATATTTCCACAAAGCATGTAATATGCTGTTTAACATGAAAACACAAACAGGTGATCATGACAATTCATGTAATTATAATAAGTAACTGTATTTACTATACACTGGATACTAGTTAATATTTTGAGTTCAGTTGTAAATATCAGAATAATCCCTGACAGTTCCGCTTAAGTAATATTAAATATTGTGTGTGCTGCTTATAAGGAAGAGAATAATCCTTAAAGTAAGGAGAATTGATCTATTCATTATGCTTTTAGCACTGATCTCATCGGCACGTGAAGGCATTTTAATAAAATATGTCCAAACCTGTGTCAGCATTTACCAGATAAAACCAAAGTATGTACAGAGATTTGATTAGGATATGATGTAATGGTCTATATTTAGCTCGTCTTAAACATAAAGGGCCAGACTTGTTTGGTGAAATATGTGATAGGTTGCTATGATACACAGGTGTATAGGTATGATCAGCTGTTTAGTCAATAGTACAAGGTAGAGTTGATATGATAAATAGTGAATTTTATAATTAATAGGGTAATAAACTCATCAATAAATTGATAAAAATATTATTTTTACAAGGCTTATCAGGAACATTTGTATCAAAATTCCAGATTAGGTTTTTGGAAAACTGCAAAATATATACATGGCAAATATGGTGGTAAAAGGGCCCCCATCTAAGATTTCTCAATTTTCTTTGTGCCATTTTAGGATTGTGTGACAATGCTATATATATACACACCATAGTGGAACATGTCTAACATGTCAGGACACAATACACTGTTTCATAAGAAAGAAAGGTAAACTTCTTAAAAATCATTGTGGATCCAAAAATAATCCCTTTATGTTGATACTTGTCAAACGAGATTATAGTCAACATCACCCAACTGTGACTACCTATGATTACGGAGAAAGATAGCATGATTATCTCATAAGCTTTGTAGCACAAGTAAGTAAATATATTGTAAGGACAAGAATTAGTCTATTGTACTACCTTATCGCTCCACTGATCACTGTAAACATTGCATGAACCTAGCTCATTTTTAGATGGAAGTAAAGAAAATAAACAAGTCATATTAGTTATTGCTTAAAAGCTTGAAAATTAACAAAATCATTGCCTTTAAGATAGGCGATAGAAAAGATCAGAAAAATGTGATTTATAGTGTCAACTCATTGGTGGCGTAGAAACTACTGACATTGAGGTACTATTGGTGGGGGCAACTTTAAAGTACTGCTACTTTAACATTCTTTTCTTTCTCATTAATATTCAAACTTATAGTGTTACTTCAAAATACTTATATTTCACACATACGTCTTTGTAAATTCATGATCGGATTAACAGTTCACTCAAACCTTCAGTTGCTTGTATGCAATTGACACAGATTGTCATGCAACATGAAATGTGAGTCATCCATGCACCTACTTAACCGGAAATCAGCATTTTAATTGTCTTCATCACTCATTTCATACATACAGCTGCTACCTATTATGTCTCATACCAAGTTCTATGTGTTGTGGTCAGTAATGGTGATTGATGCTCCTCTTTGCACTAAATGCCATCGGTTGCCTAAAATTAAACATTTAAATGAGTTTTGATAAAAGTCTTTGTCGCAGGTATTGAAACTTCACTACCCCCATCTGCCAAGCATTTGCTGTAGTAAGGCTACTACCTATACATACCTAGTAAATGTATCAGCTCATTTACACATGAGACAGAACACTATATCATATGATAACACTCACTCATGTAATCAGGTTTAGTTACATCAGACCAGGATGACACTTTCACATATTCTTAATATCACTATAATGCGTACATTATAAGCTTTCCAAACCAGCTAGGATTTGATTTTGTCTATTTGATGTACATACTTAATGCAAATGATGAGAGAACTCCATAGGGCAGAGTTAATTTATACTGCACTTGGAGGATTTGATGTATATATGTATATCACTTTGTAACTGTAAACACTTTCATTATATTGTATAAATATAAAACTTCTCGTAATTCAGTTGAATTTTATTCAACAAAAAATGCAAAATGTTATAAAATTGGTTTAGCTGTTGATTGATACATTGAAATTTGTCAAAAACTAATTATTTTTCTTAACACAGGCAATCTATTGTTTTAAGAATTTTGCTTTTATTTGAAATGTTGCATGTGAGGAGACATGATTCTTATGCATGTTACATGTTAGTTTGCAAGAACTGACTGGTGTCTCCCCTGATTTTGTTTGTCCCAGACAGACCATTGTATGGATTTTCACTATAAATTCAGCCTCTTCCTTTAACCCCATCACGGGGGAGACATATACTGGGTCGGAAGAAGACACACAGCCTGCCCACACTGGTAAAAGGAAAGGAGGACAGAACATAGGTATTGTCTGGCTCTCTCAGCAAACAGAGACAGCGTTTCTTTTTTCCTAGTGTCTAGTGTTGACTGCTTTCTTTACTGTATTAATTCATTTAGTTTTTCCTTTGTGAGTTAATGTTGTGGCTTTTCACAAACAATAATATAGTGGTCAGCACTGTACTGTCAGTTTTGTATGTCTTAAAATAATTCATAGGACAAAATATTACTCAAAGTTCAAAACAGTAATTGGCAAGTCTGTTTTATGGACTGAATTGTGCTACATCTATTGAAAAGCATATTTGCACAATGTTTGAAAGAAAACTGAAATTAAAAAAGAAAAAATCAGGGAGCATACAAGAGATACAGACATCTGACACTGTACGCTGCTGTTGTAGTGTGTCTTGCTAGACCTTGGTTCTTATGATTTGACTCTCCATCAGCCATTATCTTGTAGACAGATTCTGTTACACTGAAATCTAACTGTCTATAGTAAACACAGTATTGACAATGATCTGCCTAACAAGTGTAAACTATCAATAAATGTGATCTTATTTCCGGTCATTGGGCAAGGAATGCTGGCCAAAGCAGCAGACATACACATTTATGTATTAGTAGTATCGCAGTAAAGGCCAATGTTTTGAATATTTCATGTGATTTCGCAGATTCGGTTTGTGTGTAGTACCAATATACTTGTGGTAACATCACAAGGACTGCTTTCAGGGCGTTCAGTATTCACTACCAACACAACCAGTATAAAATATTCCTAGCAGTAGCACTTTGTTGTACTAGATATAGTTAGACACATGGAAAGGATAAGCTCTAAATAAACTCCCTGATGAATCTTTTGAATGTTTGTACCTAGTACACATATATCAAAAGAAATTCTTGACAGGCTTTATCAAAGAATAACTTCTTCATTCTTCCCTTGAAAGCTTTGTAAAAGATATTTGAATTTGAAAACTAAGCGTTGGCTCTACATCTTGATGTTTTAGATATTTGAATGTTTATAAATATAATATATATGTAGATAAGAAAATTTTCGAGGGCTGCACACATGAGAGTTCAGGCAGGCTGGCCTCTGCTAGAATGGTCTAAAACCAGCGGTACTGTAAAGAGATGTCTATGGTAACAACTAGATAAATAAGCTATGTTTGTAGCTCTATATTGTAACCAGCATTCAGCATTGCTCTCGTGGAAATCAGTAACCTGTTTACAGTACACTAGGAGGACTAAACAATAAACAAAATCAGTTTTAACAATAGTTACTGTCCTTTCTAGACCATTATTCCTGCTTTTGTCTGAGAAAGATAACTCTGATTTGTGGATGGATGGACAGACACAGACAAATGGCTAGGATGACTATTTCAAGGCATGTAATACTTGTTGCAGACAAAAAAAAATTTGAAGAAGTTGTCACAAAAATAGTTAATACTACAAGTGTGCAAGTCTATTAATATCCACTATTGTAATATGATGTTTTAGTGTTTATCACTACAACAATGGTTTAGATGATTATAGCATGAATTTTTCTTGTTTTGTTGAATTTCCCCAGCTTTCAGATTCAATGTTTATGTTGTTGTAATGTTCAGTTTGGTATAAGTGGAATGTTTAAACTCTTTATCCATCAAAGCAGTCAGTTCTCATCAGAGACCAATCAACTTATTTGAATTAGTGGGACAGGGAGGAAGAGATGTGAAAAGTTTGATATTAGTCCTAATTCATCAAGTCCAAACTCTTTTGTCATATGTCATATGTTATTTATAAGCTTGACTGTTCTCCCAACCAATATGCTACAGTGATGCACATATATTATAGTAATATTACTAAGGTCCATGAGCATGCCATTAATGTATAACTGATGTATCATCAATTGACTTCTAATGTGTGACTTGCATACAGGCATGTATTTCCTGCCTTCAGTAGATGCACATCTCTCTGCTGTCTACATAATAACACGCAAAATACATAGCCGTATTACGTACTGTACACGTTACATGTACACTGCTTAGAACACTTAGTCTTTTATATTTCAACAATATCACTACTGTTACATAATCTTACGATGAAATATTACCTCTATGACATTTCAAGTTTGAATAACGAAGAATTTATAATCTAATACTGATCAGGGTGATATTTTTGTGTATTAGTTGCAATATGTACCCTGTGGTAACTGGTATATGATTTCAGAGGTTAATACTGTTGCTTAGCTACGTTTCAATGGCAGGTCACTTAAGCAGTTATGTTACAGGGACCTGATGACAGATTTAGGGTTAAATATATGGTTTCTCTTGTTGGGCTGGTGGTCTGTAAAGAATTTATACTCATCACTATTTTACCATGCTTACTTACAATGCATTTTGACTGTGAAGTATACAGTGTGGTGATATACTCTTGTACTATAACCAGTGACTGGAGACCAAGTCTGCATTCCTCTTGTTTTGGTTTTTTTTATCATTATTTCTTTGTTATAGATAGCTTTTCCAGTAATGTTTACAAAGATTTTCTGAAGGGAATATATATTTATGAAATGAACCCATCATTTTAGAAAGATTTGGAGTCACTTTATAGCAACTAAAAATAATTGATTCCTTTACCAATTGAATTCTCTGAAACGTTTCTCAAGAAATTGATGTTGTGTTTATTTCCAGCAATACTAATAATTTTCAGACCAATAAATTATAAATCTCTATAATGACTTGTTTTGAAATGGTTTCAGTTTGTAAAAAGGGGAGCTCTGTATAGATGGAATTAGCATTGAAAACAAAGTTTGTAGCAGCCAATCAACACAATGTCTGGTAGAGGTGTTATTGTAGCTGATCATTCCCCCAACACTGCAGCAGTCAGTATGGTTCAAGGCCCCAGTACAAAAAGTCACTGTCCTGACCTCTCTCCATACCTTTTAGGAGTGCCTGTGCTCCTGGCCTCCCGAGGATTTCTTATCCAACCTACATTTAGGGCTACAAACTTTGGCAGTTTTCACACCACAGCAAGATCACAACTTTCACAAACAGAAGACTGTATAATTAATCATTGGCAATTTTCCCTGTCTTAATTTTGAGAAATGAATTTTTCCAATCTGTGTATGTCACAAAATTCACAAAAGTAAATTGCACACGAAAGAAAAGCAGTTTTAGATTTTATAGATTAAATATAATCCAGTGTTCACTAATGACTGAAGCTTTTTATCACTTGTATTTAGATAAGCTTATGGAAACATTATTAATATAATATTCAATATTTTACTTATAGACTGTATTTCTGCACATGTTTGAAAGTGAAATTGAACTTTATACATGACATTCTTCAGCCTGTAAAGCTTGCTTTGAAGACTTAATCAGTTGAGAAAGTTACACAATTACATCTAGTCAAGTGATATTTTAACTTGCCAAATACTTCATTTCAGGAAGATATTTGAATTTTTTTGACTGGGTCCTACTATAATCACTAACACTAATGATTTGATTACTGACATACTGATACTAACCAAGAAAAATTGACACCTGAGATGTATAGCCATGTTCATATACAAATTTGATGTATTTTTATTCAGATAAAAAAGGGTAAGTAATTTATGATTCTGATCGAGAAAAATTACTTGGTTTATAAAGCACATGTATCAAGGTGCCTGTATTCCTAAGCTATGTATTAGAAAGAATACAATTTTTAAGTATAGCTCAGTTCTTGGCTACTTTTTTCTATTCCTACCAGAGATGTCTGATGATATCATTATTACTAATTTATTTTCTTACCATTATATATCGTCCAGGCTTTAATTTCTATAAACAAAGAAGACAGTATCTAAGTCTCATTTAGTGACTCGTTCAACAACATTGAATTCTGTTTTTAGTTCTTCCGGTTCAGTTTCGGAAATAGGAGAAACAAATCAACTCTGTTTTGCAGAGATTAATTGAAATGAATCTTTTTTAGACAGACATAGAATCAAGGGGGGAGAGCTAATTTATAATGAATTAGTAGTGGATACATGCACAAGAATTAATGATCAATTATAATTCAGATTCATCAATACAAGTTGCATGAATTGTTACACAGCTTTACTATTAAAACATGTATGGTAAAGTTTTGACACACGATTACAGTATGTGGATAGACTTCTGCATGTCAGGGTCTTGATCACTGGAGTTTTCAGATGGCCACACAAGAGTTGTACAAGGTGAATGTGGTAGATATGATGGACATGTTAAATGTTTCAACCCTTTTCTGCTTGCAGGAGCCTACAATCCTATCACTGGAGAAGAGTACAGGGAAAGTCAGGCAAGGGAGGCTGCTGTAAGTTTGTCATCATTGCAGTGTTCACTGACAAAAAACAAATTCTTAAATGATTATATACCTGGTACTTGTGAAGTAGTATTACTAGTATGATTGTATCTAATTTACATTACTTTTATTGTTTTACCAGCTGTATATCCTGAAGAGGACAATAGGTTTTTAATGGTTGGTTGTTATCTGTAGCTGTTAAACTTGTGATGTGTTGTAATTTGAACAATATTAGTTGTTATTCATTGGCTCTTCAATCATCTGTCAGTTGTCTGCCTTCCTGTCTTTTAAACAATTTTTGTTATCACTGGTTATGAAGAAATACTGAATCTCAAAATTTCATTAGTGGGTTAAATTCGTGTCTAGAAGTGCATTGTCCATTTTGAGATTGGTGGAAAAAAAATACAGCCTAGACAACCATATTTGATAGTAACATGCAAATTCCCATTGATCTCTGCTTGTACATATTTGAATTTGGGACGGATTCAAAGAAAGAGAAAATACTCAACTTATAAAGAGACGATAAAGATTACGATTGTGGATGTCAAGATTTATCTGAAATATGTTTGTGACCTAACCATGAACATCACACGACATTAATCTTGACTTTTCTCAGTAGCCTAAAGATAATATTCATGAATTTCAGTAAACTTTACATTTTGCAGTTCCACATTTTGCAGGGTTAGTAATAAATATTATCAATGCATACACAAGTATTTTGCTGTTTTATAGAGTAAAGGTGATGGTCCACAGCACATTCGCAATAGCTCTAAGGTCCTGGCCCCACCAGGTGGAGCGAGCAGTGGTATCTTCTAGGCCAAAGTCCTTGTCACGGACATCAGGATTGCTATGATGGGATGGAGCAGCAGAGGACCTCGAGGATGCTTGTGTTAGATCTGCTGGAATACTCACCTAAGCTCACCCAAACCTATACAGATGTAAATTTTCTCTCGAAGCATTGTAATAATAATAATAATGCAAAGTGCTTTAGGTGATGTCAGAAACCAAGATGTGTACATAATTGTTGGATTTTCCTTTTTACGAAGTAAAATGAAACAAAAATTATTAGAAAATTATAACTTCTATTCTTTGCAAGATGTTTGTGTATATGGAATATATTGGATGATATGCATGGATTAATTATTGTGTATTTTTTGTGATATTTATATTTTTAGGGGGAATTGCATTTATCCGCGTTACTCTTGTCATTTGAGTTTCCGATTGGTTGATCTTTCAAAGTTGTTTACCAAACATGTATGCTAATGTTTCAACTTGTTGATTATTTACTAAAGATACTGATTGGCTGTTAATGGTGTATTTCGTCCAGGACACTATGTACTGACCTCCGCTCAGTGTGGCATGTGTTTCTACTGCCAATGTTTGGCTTCATTTTTCACTTTATTTTAGTTTTGAATTTTCACTGAAATCACTGCACTTGGCTTTCTCATCTAGCAAAAAACTGGAAAGTTTTGATATTTTTCATAATAAATGGACAATATCCAGTGTTAGCCATGTCTCCCACAAGGTAATGGTTTCAAATCTGCATGCTTTGTCATAGATCTAGACATATCATATTTTATTTTTACATCATACTAGCTTTGTATTTACTATATATCTCCTATATCCACACCTTATACTGGTCGCTGTGACTTGTGTGTTGTTTGTTGGCCATTTAATGTGTTGGTTACATACCCTTCTCCACTAACGAGTGTGAGTGACCCGTGTGATGGAAAAGTTGCTAGACCATTGGATCATGTTACAAGCAAAACAAGTTCCATGAGGTTGGAAGGTTTGTCTTCAAATGATAAGTCGTACGACTCCTGAAAGTGTGGTAAAAATCTGAGATAACTCTCGATGTAATCCAAAATATAACAACTCTCTCTTACATGGGTCCTCCTATTTGTGGAAAATACATGACTAAGGATTCCCTCTTCACCGTCTTCCATCATATAAAACAAATGAAATTCAAAGTAGTCTGTCAGTGTCTGCTGCATTCAGATGTATTTTTTCCATCATGGTTCAGTATCCTTGCGTTTTTATAATTCATTGTTATAGAAATTTCATATATCAGTACTTAACTGACCTCAATGTAATGCAGCTGTTCTGTGTTTTATCTAAATATCTTTTTGAATCCTCAATATGGGAATATGTGTCTTTATTTATGCTATACATGATACATAGTAAGTCTTTGCAATAGACATTACTTATACGGAGAACAGAATTGTTGAAACATGTTTAGTGTTCAAATTTCTATCAATTTTTCTTTTACAAATACATGACCAAGACTTTCTATTTTTTTTTTTTTTTTTTTTTTCGTTTTTGTCTATTTTTGATCCTAATCTATATTTTATTTATATATACATTTACAAGTGCGTATTTGACCCCTAAATAGATCTTCATTTATTACTTATATGTCGAAAAAATATGAAGTGCTGTGTTGTATTTTCTTCAAATTAATACCAAACTTATGGAGCCTTTTATTTCAAAATTCTTGCATCTAGATGGTTGATTGAAAGTTGTAGATTTTGTTATTCGGACCAATTGTGTAGTGAGTTATTTTTAAAATCTTTAAGCATGTTAGTGTCTTGCCAAAGTGACAATGTGATGTTTGTTGTCCCTCTGAGGACAAACTTATACACACACTTAGGCTTTCTAAGCCATTCTATCGCAAGACTTTCAAATATATTTATAATGCAGTAATTAGGCAGTGAGCTGCATTGATATAATTAATTCTGTTATTACAAGAAGTACCAACATTGAAGAGAATTCTCCATCGGGTAGACACTGTTATAAACAGTTAGATTTACGATAAGCATAAAGAATACCTGTCATCATTGTGCAAGTAGTCTCGAGCTCAGCTTGTCAAACATGTGGTTGTGTCAACTGTGATGCTAATGAGGAAAGCCTAGGTGTGATATAACAGAACGTCTTTTCGTACTAATGTGTTGTCAAAGTTTCACTTAATAAATTCTATACAAATCAATTTGAAGTCTTGTTCGTCCTTATGATCACACTGATACAACACTGCTCCAGTCAGATCCTCATCTTTGATGGATGTATAATCTGAGAAGAGCGGAAAAAATCCAGTTTTAAACTTTTGTCTGATGTTTATTTTAAAAGGTTTGACTTTAAAAAGTAGATGTAAACCAAAAAGTCAATATGTCGCCGCACTACTTTTTCTGGTTCAGTTGTCGGAATATGTGTAAATTCATTTCATCTTATAAGTATAACTATAGACGATCACGAAGTTAGTAAAACCACAAAAGGACAAGATATTATATTGGAATTCTTTTTAAATTGAATTCTGTCAAACCTCTGGTCAAAACATCATAGGGGTTCACCCTTAAGGCAGAAGTTTATTGGAAATTTTAAAAAAAAAGTAAGTTTGAGCATGCATGGAAAGTTTAAGCTATCTGAGTCCCACCAAATACCAAGTTAGCATCTGATGAGATTTTACAAATGTGTGTACATGACTTGGTTCATATTTACACCTGAGTACACAGCAAGTTCTACCGAGTACATTTTGGTGTTCATCGGTCATAAATATAGGGTCAAAGTTCGCACTTAATTTTATTACAAGATACTGAACCAATAGAACTACTACATCTGTTCTGGTTCTTATGGTATTTGTTGGATTTTCCATACTCATATAAATCGCCTAGTATTATATACATAAAAACAATGTGATCAGACTATGTTGTGACATCACAGTCGAGATAGATATTTTTGGGAGAGACCAAATGAGGCATTTCCGAATAGTCGGAGAGAGGTGCAAGTTAGAATGAGTTTCAGCTATCAACCCAGAGTTGTCTTTCTTTACTCTCGTAGATTAATAGTCTTTTTCTTATTCTTCGTGAAATTCAGTAAGAAATTGATAAGTCGACTTTGTTCATACATTTAGGGAAAGCTCCATGGAGCCATTCATATATTTACGAAACTGTGGCATTATAAACTTTCATTGACGTCTGTTCCCACTATATTTGCATCATTTGATGACCAAACATTTCTTTTTCCCATTTCAATAATAATTCGATCCTCGTTGCAGTTTAGTTTCCTTCAACTCTTTTGAAACATCTTCACGGAGAAATATTTAAGGAAACTAAGCCTTGTATCATAAAGTTACTTCGTCCTATGACTTGCCATGCTAACACCCAAAATTGTGATTACCAGTATCGATAAAAAAAATATCAAATATCAGGTTTGGAAGTGCACTTGCACTAACCACTAATTTTACATATTGAATGAAATATGTCTGATGTAATAAAACTCAATTAGTCATTTATCTGGCTAAAATTAGTTATGAATGCTTTGAAAATCAAAATGAATTCCAACACCTGGAGATCATATGAGTCACAAAAATGTGGAAGTTGTCTCCCTTGTACCGGTTATATGATAAACGGTGTCGTTAATTTTGTCTTATCACTGGACAAAGATAGCAATGTATGTTGGTCCTGCACATATTTCACACATAGGTACGATCCTACCAGTGTCCAATGTCCACCCTCGTTAACACTAATTATCGTGTCACTGACCAATGCGACGATGATGTCATCTGTTTGAATATTTCAGCATTGGACGTTGGAATCTCGACAATTTCACAGGTATCGCACACGGAAAAAATTGCTAAGGTAACGAGACAGTGATAATAAACTCTGTCATTTGTGACTCACCCGATGACTAAACATTAGGTGTACCAGTAAACTAGTAGACTTATAAATGGTCCTAATTTCTGAAGACAGACAATGTAAGTAAAATATAAAATGTTTCTAATATGATCTAACTTTCCCCGTTTTAAGCGGCAAGGATGAGATTTTCTGTCAGGCGATAATTAATATTGTAGGTTAATTATTTGGCATATTGAATTATTTATTATAAATATCAATATGACAGTGTGATACCGGGAATTTTTCGTTAAGTGGAAATAATTTTAAAGGAAAAAAAAACATTTTGTTGGAATATGACACTTTTTTCGGTTTGTAACACTTTCTTGAGACGTCGTAATGGCCCCAACCCACACCCACTTTAATCAGAAGCACCCCCTGTTTCATTTCAAAACCAAATATATATACAAAAAACAAAAGAAAACAAGATAAATAACAAAAACAAAAAACAAAAACAAACAATAACAAACAAAAACAAACAAATAAACAAAAGAAAAAACAAAAAAGAGTATTCATAGCTGTCCTTGATTTTTGTTAAGATTTTACAAATTTGGCTGGCACACGTGTGTGCAAATGGTATCCCGGGGCAATGGTTTGGTGTTTTACGAGCCATGCAAATGAAATTCCTCATAATCACCACCAAATTCGTTGTTGGGGTGCTTGTATTGTTGGTTAGGCACAGTAAATGTGTGCAGCTACATTTCTCATAGGCATGGTCACTAAAAACACTCTGGTATGAGTCAGAACAAATAGGCAAACTACATACAAATAACAAAAAATGAAAATAAAAATTGGGAACGAAACCTCTTCCACGAGCCTATTATAGATTGGTATAGTACTGGGAGGGAGGATTACTTTTCTTTCAAATTCCGAGACGTTTCACCTCGTCTGCAGCATATATTGGCAAGGTTTTATGGAGTTAGTGAATTCTGTTCTGACACACTGTTGAATCGCCCGTGTCCAGTTTCTACTCTCACTTGATATAGATAGACAGAAGGTATCACTCCCATTATCTCTGTGAAAACCTGACAGCTGCCTTTTTGGCAACCCGTCCCTTCCGTGTAGGTCCAGTTTTCTTAGTTACAGTTAAAATACAGGAAACATATACAGATCATCATCCTATTTCAAGGTCAGACTGCTGTCGGTTTGAAGCCATTTTCTTGTATGAAAATTGACATAACCTTTATTTTATAACGTGAAAACGTGTTAATAGAGGGCGTTGGAATTTTTTTTTCAGTATTCGTCGTCGACAGGAATGATCACGTGTTTTAATAAACATATACTGTGTTTCAGTGATTCTTTTCATTTTGACACGACCCCCAACTAAATGTCTGATGGAATATAATTAAAGATTATTATTCAAATACCGATATGTTAACACATTCGTAATTTAGCTTAACTCTAAATTTCTAGAATAAAAATAAAAAAAGATATGAAGGAGGTAAATATTTACCCTGGTAATATATTTACGAGACGATCCGGTAGGATAGCTTTTCATTTTATTGACGATAATCGTTGTGTCAAGATCCATAAAGGCAATGTCACTCTCTCAAAGTGAGAACCGGGTTTCATATCGTAATAATCGTTATAACGTCTACTTGCCATGTATCCTACAATTCAAGTTTTGTGGGAAACTACTTCTCAGTATTTTATGTGCCTTTGACTATGATACACCCGTTTTCCGTCACTAAAATAGTTATTTTAATCGCTTTCACCTAGACGTATTCACATCAATGTTAATCAATCCATACATGTAAAATTATATTAGTGTTTCAACGATTGATACGGAAAGTGGCAAAGAAATCTTGTAATACTGACGAAGGTAAATAGATATACATGTATGTAGATTGAGCTTGTATGTTACTGATTGACAGACACGAAGCAGACATCGACTGAAGTAACCGTTTTTTTTCTCTCATCTTAAATGTAACAAATGTTCTTCAGTGGAGCAGAAACCTTTGGCGTAAATATGTTGATAATTGTAGAATATCACATTATCACGTGAATTCACGCTCGTTACATATAGAAATTATCACCTACTGAAAAAATATTTATAAATAGGTTTGAATGAAAGTGGTTCCCACTTTGAATGAAAGGTTAGCTAGCGATTGACGAGGCAGCCTCTATCTCCACTGATAACACTATCAGTGTTACAACCATTAGCTTTTCTAATAACGGCGGAGGAAAACTGCATCAATACAGACACGTATTAGAAATCTGTACACGTTTTATACTCAAGGTCTGTCGTATGTAGACATCACAACAAGTATTAGAAATCTGTACACGTTGTACAATCAAGGTCTGACGTATGTAGACATCACAACAAGTATCAGAAATCTGTACATGTTTCATACTCAAGGTCTGACGTATGTAGACATCACAACACGTATTAGAAATCTGTACACGTTTTATACTCAAGGTCTGACGTATGTAGACATCACAACACGTATTAGAAATCTGTACACGTTTTATACTCAAGGTCTGACGTATGTAGACATCACAACACGTATCCGAAATCTGTATACGTTTTACACTCAAGGTCTGACGTATGTAGACATCACAACACGTATCCGAAATCTGTACACGTTTCATACTCAAGGTCTGACGTATGTAGACATCACAACAAGTATTAGAAATCTGTACACGTTTCATACTCAAGGTCTGACGTATGTAGACATCACAACACGTATTAGAAATCTGTACACGTTTTATACCCAAGGTATGACGTATGTAGTCATCACAACACGTATCAGAAATCTGTACACATTTTACACTCAAGGTCTGACGTATGTAGTCATCACAACACGTATTAGAAATCTGTACACGTTTTATACCCAAGGTCTGACGTATGTAGTCATCACAACACGTATCAGAAATCTGTACACGTTTTACACTCAAGGTCTGACGTATGTAGACATCACAACAAGTATTAGAAATCTGTACACGTTTTATACCCAAGGTCTGACGTATGTAGTCATCACAACACGTATTAGAAATCTGTACACGTTTCATACTCAAGGTCTGACGTATGTAGACATCACAACACGTATTAGAAATCTGTACACATTTTACACTCAAGGTCTGACGTATGTAGTCATCACAACACGTATCAGAAATCTGTACACGTTTTACACTCAAGGTCTGACGTATGACTTAATTGTTTTATAGAAAATTACATTAGATATACTATCTTCCTTCTAAAATGATGTTTGGAATGAAAATGTCTTGATTACCAGGTAGATCGGATACAAATAAATAATGAAAAACGACTTACGGAGAAATTTCAGTTATTATCTATATCAAAAGGTGTGGCATTATAATT